TTCGAAAAAATAGATTTTTCATATGTTTTACTATGTGATCGACAAAAATTACGTAGACTTTTGTCCAGTGAGTGTATTTTATTCCCTCAAAGCACTCTCCATTAACGTCGTAGACGATTCCGCCAATTTTGGAAAGACTTCTTGTAGTCAGCTTTTGGGAGTGGTTCCAGCAGTGCATTGTCGTGATGAAACATAACGTCACAAACAGGCTGGCCCAGCTCACTATGCAAAATGCGGAAAACTTTTTCACGAAATACCGGTCTTGTTGGCTAAATTTTTGATAGAAATGTGCGGGTGGTTGCTAACAAGACCTTTGATCTTGGCTATCTGATTGTGCTGGTCGACAATGCTTGTTTTCTATATTCACCAGCTCTTCGTGGATTTGAGTCATGTTTCTGCCATTTTCTAAAGTATCGTTAGCTCTTATAGCTTATTTCTAAAAAAAATGGGTTCTCGACAATGGCATAATGGATTGCCTCTATTTTCTTTCATTTGTTATGCACATTTTATGATTATTTTCAATTTTAGTTAATCTCGAGTTGGAGGGCCACACGCAAAACTTGTCAACATTCCCATGTATAATAAGACGCATAAGTATTTTAATATTGCATACTGACGTTAATTGGTCATTTTACTACGGCGTATTTCTTTGGCCGATAGTGTCGCCACAGCAAGTAAATGAGAACTAACAACAGGGCAAGGGTAAAATCTAACGAACGCACGCAGGTAATCATAAAGTTTGATTGCCGTAAATGTAGCAAGGAGAGGTTTGAAAATTTATCATTGGCTATACAATCGAATCTCCTAAATGCACACTCCCTACGTAAATGCACGCTTTCCTTAAATTTGTGGTCCCGATCTCGGGGCACGAGTGCTTAAATGCACACACTCTGCACGGACAAATGGATTTTTGAAATCCCGGCTATTAGAAAATAACTTAAATATAACTGCACGCCTAATTTTAAGTATAAATTTAGTAAGCTTCGTATTGTATACATTATGTAAAATTATAGCTGGTACAATTTCATGTCGTAATGTCAGTCACTTTAACATAAAGTTAGATAGAAATTTGTCTGTAATTTATCATCGTAAAGTTAATAAAGACCATTGGAAACGTTATTATTATGTGGTCGAACACATGTCTTGATTTCAGTCCATTTAATCAAGCCATTAAATTTTACCAAGTAATTTAATTTTGGTCAGGCCATTTTAAAGTTTTACGCAAACGATTTAATCAGCCATTTAATCAGGCCATTTAATCAGGTCATATTTAATTTGATTCTAAATTCAAATATAGATCAGTATGTCAATAAATTATAAACGTTTTAAAGAAGTGCGGTAAAGAGTACGTAAGCTTGCTAATAATATTGGTGCCTCTGACATGTAAGCGCACTACTTGCATTGTTCCCTAAATGCATGATATGTGCATTTAGGGAGGTTTTATTACTTGATGCGCATCTTTTAGTGACGTTTATATTGGATCAAACGTTTATGAAATAGTTTGTTTCATGGTGAGAACAAACGACGAAACAAAGAAACTCTGATCTAAACGGTTGCTGTATATCTACATTTACTCGAGATTATTAAAAGAGCATGTTTCCAATGCTGGTGTGAGAGGGGACTTCCTTTCTAACACATAAACACTTACAATGGGGTGTTAGCTAATTTACTTATTAGTGTAATTTAAAAGACTACAGTATGTCATGTTCAGAGGACAAAAACTAAAATAAACATTATTCATTGAGGGAACATTACATCAATGTTACAAGCGTTTGAGCAGCGCGTAAGCCGTGCATGTTAGTCTCATAGGCTGGATTGCTAATTCAGTGTACTTTATCTCTGCAATGATTTGTTCGTTTGTTAAACTTGTAAGTGCCGTATGTGACCATGTATGAACCCCAATGTCATGACCTAATTACAATACAGTATTATTAGCTGCCAAAATAAGATACGAGAATAGACGTAAGATTTCTGTGACAAGTTAAATATACTGACCACTGTCGTGTATTTTCTTCAAAACGTCTGGGTATTGAAAGACGCGCGAGCCCACTACGTAGAATGTAGCCTATCGTGACACAAGACTATTAATTTAAGTACCAGTACCACATGATAATGTAATGATGACAATATCAACTAATTACCTTGACATTTTGAGCATTTAAGAAATCTACTAATCCCGATGTGAAGGGCCTATCATGCATGTAACACAATGTGAGCAATCTTCGACATAATTCTATCGTACAATACAATGTGTAGCAACTATAATTACTTACGAAGGACCATCATCGAACGTAAGACCCCAAGCTATATACGATAAGACAAAAGAATAATGTGTGTTAATACAGCGTCATTGAACTAAGTGAATGTCACCTTACAATTAATACTAAAATGTATTCTTTACTTTTTTTAGTCGGACAATTGACGATATCATCGGCACGAGTGCAACCACAGGGAAATCGACAAAATCCCGAAGCCTGCGCACAGCTCGTAAGCTGATTGAGTTGAGGAGCATTTGTTACTTTTGACATGTCAACCAGAGAATTCCATGCTGCGACTGCCGCTACGGGTTGATCGAGCGGCGGCCATGTGCCTGGAAGCACGGCATTGACAGCGTTAAATAGAATAAATAAAGCAATAAAACTTTTTATCATCTTCAGATAATGTGATATTCGTCGTGAGCGTTAAACTTGACGGTTTTCAGAACATGGAGCGAGCATGAGGAGGCTTTGTTTAAATACACTGCTTAGGTATCACAGATTCTGTGGACATGATTATTTGCCTTTGCGGTATTCTATTTACAAATCTAAATCCATTGAATTGACGAAATGAATAAAAATTGGTCGATTTTATATGTAGGAAAAATAAATTTCCATCAATTTGGCCCTTATTAGTCGCACAGAAGTGTTATCTGTGTGTGCGATCGAGTACAAAGCAAAAAGGTATTAAACTTTAATTAATAGAAGAATGATTTACATATACTAACTCTCATAATTCACATCGCATTTGTAGATTACGAAATAACCGCTCAATTACCTTTTCACAAACCCGTCTTATTGATAGAAAGCCACGTTTGAAATATTAATTTAAATACGAGACAGTATAATTGAAGCATTTCTCATAGTGACTTGTTGGGCTATAATAGTACATATAACCGGTTTCTAATGTTAACAAACACAAACAAATGCTTTCGCAGACTGGACGGCTAGATAATGGACCTGACACTAACGTTAATAATAGATTTCACTCCAACTTGCGTGTTACGTCAAAATCAACAATTTGGACGGTCACGGGCATTTTCTATAAATATCCTGAAACAGGCACCACTTCAGCTGCCGCTTCAAGTACCGCTTCAAGTACCGCTTCAAAATCCTCGAGCACTACCACCGATGTTGCTGCTACAGATGCATCGATCAATGACAATTCACCTCAGTCTAACGCTGCATCGCTAGACAAAAGCATAGCGTCCTTATTTACTACAAGTCTAATAATAATTGTTGTATTTTTTTATCAAACATTTTTATGACGATTATAATTTTCATTATTATTCTTATTAATTGATAATTGTTAGAGAAAGAAGAACATTATAGAAAATTTACAAAAAATAGTAGTCCATGTCGGATGTATTTTTAGTAATTTTAGCATCAAAACAAAAAGAACGAGTATTCATTGTACATATACATGCTTGTGGTAGAATTCAATAAATGACTTGATCTGCACATTAAACTGATGACGACATAACTTGACGGTATAATGAACCTTGCTATGGTAATTGTGAACTATTGTAAACACGTTTTTCGTTATATTAACATCTTTTGTTATGCTTTGAATGTCATCCTTTGTGTTGTTTTTTATCTTTCCAAACAAGGGTTCATTGACGCTGTAACATAATAATAATAAATCGTATGAACGCCACGTGAACTTGACTGGAATGTTTACACTGCATCTATTATCCATGTTCATTGCAACTGTCTTGTTAATTGGTTCTGGTTGCCGAACATAAATTTGCAAGTCGGTTTTGTTTTTTTTTGTCGATTGTCGTCCTCTGCTGTTTTTCAATTGCTAAAATCAAGCGATGAGATTATCGTGCTGTATACGAACGGTTTTACATATAACAAAAATACATGTAAGCGAAATAATCTTATGATGAATAACATTTAGAAGTTGGTTTTATATATTGAAGCAGACTATCTACGACTACCGATAGGAAATGTCTTACGGTGCAATCCGATATTGACGTTGATGTATTACAAAAACATTTTCTCCTTGGTGAACTGAAGAAAGCGAGGACGATAAACAAACACGCACATCGATGTGACACGTGACGATTTTAATAAATGTCGATGTTATAGATCTGACTTGTTGATTTAGAAAATTACTTTCAATATTACAATTAATCTATTGAAATGATTGTGTCAGCCACATAATAGTCTTAGTCTTGTACTTTCCTGCTTTGGTGTTCTGGCAGGTTAGGAGTATAACCAGGTTTGGAGCCAACTGGTTCTTCAATTGGTGATAGCATGAATGATCCTTATAAGGACCTTTAAATGCTCCTGGAAGAAACATATTTACTATAAAGCAGAAAATAGCTATTACACTAAGGTACTCACTACAAATGTATGTAAATATCTGGAGCAACCCTCCAGTAATAGTAGGTCAAGTTTAGTAGGCTACAATGGTATTGGATGTTCCCAATTTGAGCCAGCTGGAACACTGGGCCTTTTGCATCTAGGTTATGTATCCTGAGTTCATATCCTACATGATATGAATAGGTTGGCATATTAATATTTCATGTAGGCATAATGCAAATATTATTATATGTTAATATACCAATGACTTGCGCCTAAAGACATGCAATTTTGATATTATTCATCTTATCGCAATTCATAAGCATGAGTTTGCAACTGGTCTCCAACAGTTATGACAATGTGTCATTTGTCAAACGCCACTTTTGTAGCCGTGGATGAGTAGGTACTATAGGAGCATTATTCAATATTAATATAATGTAACATCAATAGATATGAACAAATCTTTCCACCTGTTTGATTGATTCATCATTAAACAGAATTGCTGCTTGCTTATTATTATTGGTAAACAATATTCCTGCTCACCTTGCAGTTCGGAACTGAAATGAGGCTTGAATCCTGATCCATCCGCAAATCTTGTTAGCGCGTGGCTTAGAAATTATGGCATAATAATAAGACGTATGATCTAATTCTTTAATTTATTTAACGTTCGACAATAGTGGCGATTTACTACAGCCAACTGCCTTTAATTCGACCGCCTCCGTTCCGGAGTCATCGGTCGAATTAACGTACAAGTCAAAATTAACGGCAGACGTACTTAGGGAAAACAATAATAAAAATATTTTTCGGGTCTTACTCAAGCGATCGAATTATCGGCGAAATCGAATTAAAGGGATCGAATTAAAGGGGATCGAATTAAAGGGGGTCGAATTAAAGGGGGTCGAATTAAAGGCAATTGACTGTAAACCGATTTTTATCTGACTTTATGTGATTGGTGTCTGCTTGCTAAATTTAGCAGATGGCTAGGACGTGACAATTACATGATCAAATTTGCGAGTCGCCCAAATTTTAAACTTAAAATCACGTGGTGCATATTGCAGAAGTCTCAGAGAAATATTAATATGGTAATTGTTATGAATTTCAGTAGACGCGAATTTGTGTCCTTTATAAGGCGCTTCAATAGTCACACTGATTAACGTAATCTACTTATAGAGGCTATTATGAACTTAGCTTGTGATGTTAATATTAATTTATTCTATAAATAAGTACATTACTAAAGACTTGCACAACACTGACAAGATTATAAGTTTGCATAAGCCAGTAACTATCAGGAACAGAGAAATCATCAAAGAATCGAACATAACAACAAGTTCCATCATGCAAACCAATCCAGTGCCAACGTCTCTCCAATAATCGAGGTATACTCTTTGCTTGTATTAAAAATATCCCGATGCAAAGCACCACCTGCTTACACAACATCATTCGCTAACTGTTAAATAGTCTTGAATATAGGTTGTCGTGTCTTCCTTGGAATATATCAAGAAGCGGCGATGTCTGCGCTGCATCCTCAGACCTAAGCGTACTAGTTTCTTTCAAGGTAATTTCAACGTACAATTGACAATCTGTCAAAAGCCTCTGCGAATAATAAGGTCCCACAATATTCAATCGAACGGCAGCAGAAAGAGTTGCACGTGCAAAGAGAAAAAGGAAAAGATGTTGCGTACGCCCTTTATCAATAAATTGTAAATGATAATCACAACATTAGTTATTTTATATATACCAAAATTCATACTTTTGCAATCATGCCATTTACACGTTCTCCATACTCACCCAAAGTCAATCCAACCAACCTAGCCACAAGACCGAAACAAACAGGAAAGTGTCCGTCCACGCTTCTTTTTCTTACTTCTTTCTTGAACTTGCTCACGACGTCGTTCCATTGATCATCTTCGTCTGCAAAAGACTTGCCATACAATGTTAGCATGGCCACACCCTGTGCTTTCGATGCTCGCTTTGTGACATTATTGCTCGTACATGCATCATATAGCCTATCTAATCTCTCCAAATGCTCATAACACTCATGCTCGTCGTCAACACTTTGAGCAGCAATGTACGCGTCAGACACGAACGGTAGAGCAGAGTGAGCGTAATTTTTTATGCTACTAGCGAGGAATTTTGAAAGTGAAGTAATGTCGTGGACGTTGCCAGAGTGAATGGCAGATTCGAGACCTGACGAGGCGACAAAACCACCAGTGGGTAAGGCAGAGTCTGAGAGTTGCCAGAGAAGCCAATCTTCTTTATGGTTTGTCATGACATTGGGTAGATGGTGAGGCGTGTGTTGTAAAAAGAGACGAAACGGCCTTCATTCTTTTAATATGGGACAATTTTTTTGGTTGCGACGTGGTAGATCGGTCAGATATCTTATATAATACGTCACCGAGATTAGATTAGTTTTGTGCTACCCATACCAAGAACATATCTTTGGAGGCAACGAAAGTGAACTGGTGATTGCTTGGAGGATTTCGAGCACCTCTTAGATGTAGTGGTAACTATTTTGGTTACTTATCTTGTCTACCGCAAACGAGATAATTACAGTCTTCACAAACAGTTATGGATATTACTATAACGTTCGCTCATAATTATTGTACACCCGAACGTACATCATGCGAAAAATGTGACATGTGATCAGATCCTCATAAATTCTGTTTTTTACTGTTACAAAAGAATACTAGTACATAGCTTTAGCCTGTATAGGTAGCTGTGAAATAAAGTCTTACACAATTAAAAGAATACTAGTACATGATTATAATCTATTAAATTTTGTCAAGAAAAGTCCATCATATGTGTCTATAAATCATTCTGGATAGCCTGCGTATATGTTTGCGCAAGCGTATCTAGTGCCTATAACATTAGAATAATATTTAATATTAAAAACAATCATCAAACTATAAACAAAGCTTGCAGGTTGAATTTATCTAAAAACTTACCATTAGGATAATGAATAACGACTGATCGTCCAAAAATTGTGTCAGTCGGATTGACCCATTTTAAATAAGGATCTTGATACTGTCTATACAATATTTGTCCAGACGGGAAACCTGGGAGCTTGCCATGTTTACCTAAAATTGAGCACATAGTTTGTACACATCAGTTTCGTCAGTCTTTCTATAATTAAAAGACGTGTCTTTTCTGTATGTTCAACTTACCACTCAAATCACCCTCTTGACAAAGATTGGGGATATTAGGATCGCACGGTGCACCGTCCGGATATCCGCTTGGCGATAAATGGCCTCCGGTAAGGTTACAGTCACCGCTATTTGGTACCGGATACTGATGAATGTGATACGCATATTGACCGGTAAGATTTGTCAATCCAGAGTACAATTGAACAATAACATTTGTAAATGTTTGGCTGCCATCCTCACGAAAGTTGATCGTTCCCGTAACAACTCCTGTAAATTGAGCATAAGCAATATGGGTACTCGGATTTGGAGAATCCGGTACTGGCAAGCTCGATGTGAGCAGTGTGGAGGACAAAAGAAGAACAAGTATTGAAAGTAGCATGTTCATGATTAAGTGTAGATCACGGTAGGGTGCGTGGTGATTGAGTCGTTACTCTTGAAGTTTTGCTGTTTATAAAGATCCGAAAGAAAAAAGCAAAAACTACTCTAAACACGAACGGGCAACGGCTTGCTTTTATATCTTAATCCTACCCAGTATGGCTTTGAAGGCTTAGCAGTACCAACTTTGGTAATGACGTGTCTATAAATAGCAAACTACCCTACGGTGACCAGAGTTATGAGTGTGACAACTCAATGCTTACCGTCACAAAATGCAAGCCTCGCTAAGCCTCGATGATCGAGTGCGACCAGCATTTCAACCATATTATTTACTAAACTAAGACTGCACTTAATTGGAATGTTACTACATACGATAAACAATAAAGGTTAGTTGTATTACAAAACCCTGGAAACTGGCCCACAATGCTAGTTTTATACGAGTCGATTGTAAATGCTTGTGCTAATCAATTCAACCTGTTTTCGATAGCAACGTTTTTATGAATAGCTGAAATAGAAAGCTTGCAAGCCTTCATTAGGGAGGCTTTCCTTGTTGGCTTTAACTATTTAAGGTTTAATGCTCAGCTGCGTTTTTGTGTGCAAACACATATACAGTACGTAGGGATCCTCTCCCAATTTTGGTTAGGTGGACTTTGCATTTTTATGTTGAAGTGGGAACTCTGGCTTCTCACATAGTTTCTTTTCCATTTTATTTACCATTTGAGGGTTTGTTGACGCTTGCTTGTGTCATGTATTGAGATTGAAAATGTATATAGATTGAAACTCATTACAAAAGTATAGGTGAGAGTTAGCTAAGCATTTTGTTGGCTCCGACCGAACGCTCTTTCTATTATTATCGCTCGTAACAATCTAACATTTTCAGCAGCAGATGTCTGATAGTACTCCCATTAATTATTTCGGTATGCAATTGGATCCGGAACTTGTGGCGCATGCGTATCTAGTTTATCTGCTGTAGCATAGCCTGGTTTGATATATTATAAGCAAAATTTTTCGGTATATTCCGAGGTTCAAGGGTTTTCCCCTTAAAACACACCATAATGTCCTGTCTGGGGAAAGCATGTGGCTTGCCGTTACACTCATTAAAAAAATTTCCGTAAATGGGATTTGGGATTAATAAGCAATCAGATTTGGCCTCACGTGATATCAAAAATTCACAACGTTACTGTATGAATGCAATCAAATTATCAAAGACAAAAACCAGTACCGCAAATCTAAAAGCAATACCTATTTTTAGCAATCTAAGAGTAAAAGGCTTATAATTAGAGAAGGCGGGTAAACTTTGGTTTAATGGGGACAACAGTAACAATTTTATACAAATTTGATTTTGCTGAATAAATATTTATTTGTAATATATTATAATATAACAATTTGAGATAGAGAGATTTCTCACAAAGCCACACCAGATCTGATCGGTCATAATGCTTATAATATATTGGCACATGCATATCGAGTACCTATATAGAAATAATATGGTAAGAATAATTGACAAGCATCAAATAAAAATTTTCAATTCGTTTAATACTTGCCATTGGGGTAATGGATGACAACCGATCGTCCACGTATTGTAGCATTAGGATCATCCCATTGCAAGAAGGGATCTTCATACTGTCGAAACACTACGTTTTTAGACCCTGGGAGTTTTCCGTGTTTACCTAACAATAGAATTTCAACATTTTATTGCTGGTTCTCGTTTATACTACCTAACTGTTCCTCACGTCGAATTCACAGCTTACCACTTAAATCACCTTCCTGACAAGCATAGGCAGTGGCAGGATCGCATGGCGCACCGTCCGGATACCCGTTGGGTGATAGATGGGCTCCAGCCAAGGTACAGTTGCCGCTTTCCGGTACTGGATGTTGGTGAATATGATACGGATACAGACCAGTAAGATTGGTCAACCCAGAGAATATTTTTACGGTAACTGTCGTAGATTGTTTCTCCTTGTTTTCAAGAAACTTGACAAATCCTTTAACCTTTCCATCAAATTTAACAGAAGCAGATCGACCGGTTTTCTCCGGCAAAGGTGAGCTCAGCGTCAAAAGCGTGAATGACAAGAATATAGCAAGTATTGCGAAAAAGGATTTCATTGTGAGTGATATAAGAGGTTGATAGAAAAAAAGTATTTGAGAAGCTGTGGTAGGGTTTATAGATTTGGTTATGGCCTGTTCTTATATAAAGAGGTTTGGAAAAACTGTCTTGCTGACAATTCTCCAAATATAGCATAGATCTTCATGCTGTCGACAAGAAACAATCGTTACTAATTATATTCACTCGATAATGCAAGCGTCAATGTAAATCCGAACGTTTTTCTACTAGTTGTCTATAAATAACAACGCGGATCGAACTAATATATGTTTTATTTGAATGGGAAAAACCCTTTAATAGCTAGTTCTTGCTCATGAGCCCCTGAACGACATTTAATCAAAAAGTGTTGGGCGGTTATTTTTAACATGTCGTATCATGTTATACAGATCGGCATTCGATCAAATATTACTAAGAATGTTTGCAGTTGTTTCTTTTTTTTTTTTTTTTTTAAAGTTGAAACCTAATACAAAAAGTAAATTAATATATATTTTTAGAAATAACGTATGGTGTTAGAAAATGCTTGTTTGTAATGTAAACTACATGATCAATGTTTACTATTTTTTTAGCCGTTTAGCAAACAATGGTAAACGGCGCGCTACAATAAAATTTTGTATTACTCACATCCATATTGTTCCTTGATCATGTGCTCAATGTTTATTTGGCGTAGCCCAGCCACGCCAATTTGGCAAAGCGATTGGTTACGTAATCATAGTTCTATGTGAACGAGTCGAATACTAATACTAAGTAACAATTCACCAACTAGGTGTAGATTCCCTATCGCTGTTGTCAAGGGGCAGTTTAGGTCAAGATAATACATCCACATTTGTTGCCTTTTCCTTGACACTTGTAAATTGTCACTCTTATATATATGTGTGGCAATCATCTCCCATTTCGTAGATCGTTCCCATTTAAAAATCTGACTTGGTACATCGTCATTACGGTTTAAACCACGGGTTTTTCAAATGTCATTTACAACAACAGGCGATTGTACCGTACTTGCAGTCTGTGATGTCATGTTGCATTGACAATCAATGACTTGAACGTATGGCGAATTAACAAAATTTCTTCATTACCTTTTACTTTGCTGCTGATTTTCACTTTACAATATTAAAACAGTCGCATATTGCAGTGGCCCGGATGTAAAGCAATCAATAAAACAAACTCCTCTCTCGTCCAAAAAGAACTAAGTTCTATAGTTATCGTATATTTGTTACATTATACAATACACAACCTGTGTTGTGTTTGCAAAGTGTGCAGAGATTTCGTCGGCATAACAAGCCGAGTGTTAAAGTAGAATCAATATTAAATGTAAACCAACCAAAATATTTATTAGAAATATAAGCATTAGTATATCAATATTTTTGCAAACTTTGATTACGCTTGGAATGCATGCTTGTGTAAAATGCTATGTTCTACGTTGGAAGAAGACAGTTTGTCTTTAGTTTAAAGTCAGACTGACTGGTTGTTGATATGATTGAGTGCTTCACAAATCATAAATTATCATTTTCTATGGGTAAGGCATATTAATATTTATAATATAATTTTATATTAGCTATAAATTCCATGTTTTGTCAGAAATATTGCTGAATCTTATTTCTTCTAGAAATGAGTAGTTACTAGTGACGTGGTTGGTGAGACCATTTGGCATTATTGACGTTGTTGTTAATGATAATGTAGATAGATGCCAGACCATTCGAGTGCCATAGGCGCTGGCGATTGTTGTTGTTGAACATGGACAAGATACCATCGGCGCTGTTTATAGACGCAGGTGGCATGGGGGCACTAATGTTGTTAATGTGTAGCAATATTTCCTGACTTGTTGATACCTCTTCCATGACCCTTTTCTTGTCTCTTGTAATTTTCTTTGTGGTAATGGTACGATGGGAGTTTGTCTTGGTGCAATCTTGTACACGTCTTACGATTATCAGATGGCATATTAAAAAAGGAGAAATTCAAAAATATTGTAGTAAAGAACGTCTTTGCATATAAATAGAATCACTGTAAAATGGCTGTAATGTTGTCTTTTTTTTCTATTTTTTTTTTTGTAGCAGATATTAATTTAGAAAGTCTGCGTATATTTGGAAACTGTCACCGATAGTATTAGTGACAAACGTATTTTTGCAATTACCGCAAGTAATGTTGTGTTAATTTGGCAGTTAATTGGATGACGAGCGGTACTGTATTTATAAGTTTAGAGACTTTCATTTAGCATGTACAAATAATTTTGCATTGTATAATCGCGAAAGCTGATGTGGTACTTGTCGAACAGTAACAAATCGCGTGTCGTATTTGGAACGATAAACAATTTACGCTTTTATTATGATCACTAATGCTAATGTTCAATACTCGGATTCCAAGCATCTCACAGACTATGAGTATGCAAAGCTTCTTCACTTCTAGTTATAACGTTTTATCAGCGTCTCACTATCCATTTCGATCATAGAACACTAGTGATATACCAAATACATTGAAATTAATTAACATGAATTTCATTGTGTAATCTTGGCAATTTACTATTTAACGAACTATACAACTAGCCATAAAATAAATAAAAACGCGTTGAGGTCGATTTTACCACGAACACTTTGCCGCGTTTAGCGATACTAGCTGTGATGTCATAACTCTACCTCTTACCATACATTGGCGTTGAAACAGAGCTCACTATCACATATTAATTATACTCTACATATAAGCAACCCCATATATACACACGCCGCATATTCTATGCTGCACGGTTTCTTCGTTTCCCGCTATTTGATTCACTCATAAATAAGGGCTTCCTTCATCATATGAGAGGGCTCTTGTTCACGAGATGGCTTAAAAACAATGCAACATGATCTGCAAATTGACACGTAACAACTATCCCGTTATTTTAATCAAATGGATAATGAGGGCGTATGGGGTCAGCTATTTTGCAGCATCACAGATCTTATTCATGGTGGGCTCTTATTTATGAGAGTTTATGGTATTTGACTTCACTCTCTCGCCTGTGATTTGCACAAACAAGTCAACGATTTGTCCAGACAAAGATGACGGACAGAGTAACAAGTAATTGCTTATGCAAAACTTTACGGACAAATTAAAAATTATTGTTAAATAATAATGTGACTAGGCTGGTGAGTTTATTTATTATTATTCTCAAAGTACAATAAATCGGTAGCGTAAAATTTGGAAAAGTGTTTGTAGATTTGGCAAGTGTGCTTATTTTCGGGACTATACAGTAATGTGAATGAATATGTCTATCGAAAAGGCTGTTAAGAAAACTATTGTACTGTGTGAGTAATATACGATAGCATAAAACTTGATTAAACAGTCTTACGATAATATTATCCATGCCTTTTCCCGGCAGCTGGCTGTGTACACAGTTTGGAACGTTCCTTTAACGGCATCGTTTTTGCCGAATTTTCGTAATTTAAACGGCTGAATACGGCTAATTTTATCAAGCGTCGAATTAGCGTTAAGTTATTACATACATGGAAACAATCAGTCAAAGGGCCGAATTAAAGTTGTCTATACAATACTCAATTTATACGATTGACTATTACAAAAAGAAAGAACCTGACATGAAAAAAAGTTCGGCATCAAAGTCCGGATTACCGAAAGTTTGAATTAATTGATTGTACTATTTTTGCTTTACATTAGCTGGCATCCGATTAAATTTCCATATTGAGTTTGTTCGTTTGTTACAACATTTAAAAAACTTTCTTTTATTTTAATGGACAAATTCATATGCAACACAGTCAACTCGACCAAAAATAAATTCAAGCATTGGGACAAAATGCTGTCGTCTATATGAATTCATGATAATTAGTTAACTTGCGTAAACCAAGTCTTAAATCTTGCAAAAAAATAAACGATAGCAGGCAACAAATTAAGAATAAATTGTTGAAAGTGAATTAAAAACATACTTAGCATACAGAATTAATGCCGAACTTTTGAAGTCAACTATTAGACTGTAATGACTATAATCAAAGTAATATCCAAAACCGATAGATTAAATATTGTACATCTTAAGACAGTGATTACAGTACATCGGCATTAAGGCCCGCTGTTGACTTTATAATTAACGAGCCGTGACAATGTTATACGAGATAACGAGTGCATCGGGAGAGCAGCGGCCGGGGTCAAGTACATATATAACAGCAGCTTTCATTTGATTCTGATTTCCTTTTTAAAAACGAAGTTTAGTGTCACATTACATCATAACGTTTTGTCATACAAGTCACACAAAGCAAAGTGGCCTAACCGAAGCAACTCGATAAGATATATATAAAGAACGTGAAAACCCCAACGCTAAAACATTCGAAAACTGGTTGATTGAAATTTGCCATCAAGCTATTAACATACAAGCTCAAGCGATCAATTTAATCAAACATGAAGTTTCCGGCGGTTAAGTTTTTGTTCATACTTGTTCTTTTTGCGGTAGTTTTCGAATCGGAAGTTGTACAAGGTAAACATAACAATACTATTAAAGATACCAAATCATGAAGACACATCGAATGTTCTATGAAATATTAATGCTAGAATACGAACTAATATTTGCTCTTTTTACATTTGTATCTAGCAATTGTTGTTAGAAAAAAACCCACTTTGGAGCGTAGAAAACGCTTATCTCGCGGGAAAATGCCAGCCCATATAGTTAAAAGTCCTGGTGGTCAGAAAAGATCTCCAACCGACCCCTATAAGGCAGCTTGGTGCTCACCTATTTGTGACCATATTTGATTTGTTTTAACTATTTGTCAATACTCTTATTTGTTTTGGCAAATAAAATTATTCCAAACTGATGCTGACTAAACAATATATGTCAAAAAATTTAATTAACCTTGTACTTTCCTCTGCACTGATGGTCGATGCATAGATTTTGTTAATACGAAAATAAAACAATACTGTATATGATAGACCAATAGTCTCGCCGCCATTCGACCACGCATTAGTTGAATCGTTTTTATGTCCGGAGCAGCAATAGCGAGATGTTTGGCTCAAATAGTATGACCAGTGACAAATACAACTGTTGACTATCATTATAGTTATGCTTACATTACTATACTACAAATTTATTATTAAAATTATTAAAATTAGAAACAACATCTTTGGGATGCTGCGCCCTTTGTTTATTTTAGATAGACTGGAAGTTTGCATTTATTGGTATAAATGTTATAGAAAGAATAGATATAATTCAAATTCGGTTATTTAATTTAACCTAATTTTGCGGATGCAGTTTTTAGAAAAATTGCGTGGCTGACGAGATAGTCGCGCTTGAGAAAGATTAGTTGATTGCTGGTTTCAGGAGACGAGTCGTCGAGGTTAGACGTAGCGGATGAAGTTGTCTCCGGCCCGTTTCTTTATTCTCATTTTCGACTGTCTTGAGCTTTTTGGACTGGTTATTGGTATTTGTTTCAGCCATAGCTAAAGTATAAATAGGGAAAGTAATGCATTAGCCCTTACCATTTAATTGAATGAAATGCTCCTTTTCCTTGAAATAAAAATAACAAGCACGTATAAAAGTTGGCAATGGTATCGACTTGTTTTCATCAATGACCGTATTGACTTTGGCGCAATCATCGTACATCAGCAGATCGTTGATGATGTGTGCGTCTGATGATAACAAGTTGAGGACGTTTAGTTCTTTTCTGCAAGAGCAGGAGATTATTCAAACATATTAGTGCATTGATTCATTTAGTTTACAATCGATGAGCATAATGAAACAGTAATATCTTACTTTGACGATTAAATAAACATCTGTTCAGTTAAGCGCAACCGATAAGTGCTGACCCTCATTGTGTTAACATTAGTTTTGAAATAGAGCATGAGTTAGTAGTACACGATATAGTTAATATACTGTAAAGCACTTGGTAATTTCCTGACCATTCGTGAAGAATTTGATCACGCCATATCAAAGTTACGCCATAAGTGTGGCTGAAATTTGTCTCGCCACATGTCACATCATGGCAAATCTCGATCACACCACATCAAGATTTCAATATTGCTTCTTGTTATGTTATTACAGAGTTGTGACTGTTTCGATCAGACCCCATCGAGATTACACTATTACGGCGCATTGAGATTACCGTCTCGCTACTCGACAAAATTCGATACGTTGTAAATTAATGATATCGTATTACAGGAAAGGAATGTGAACGATTTTGTGCAACAACTTTTGTCAGGTGAGTTACACACATGAAATGATGCAATCAACATTTGTCAGCGCACTTTCATCAAGTGAATTTACATAATAGTAAATTGTGCAGATCAGGTGAGTACACAATATTTCAGCCCACAAATAAAAAAATATGTATAAAAATAAACCTCATTCCCACCGCGAATGAAAGATAATTAGATTTGACAAACGAGATTGCTTATTACATGATGCTAACAATTTGGAGCGAATACGGGAGTAATTGTTGCCACTGACTGAGATACGAATGCATGGACGCAAATTATAATCTCATTATTGATCTGCGAAAACACGGAAGCAAAATCATATCTTTCAAAGCGAGGTCATCATACGATTGCAAAGAAGGACATGTCATCGGGTCGAGACTCTACTCTCTATGCAAAGTACGTGGGATGGCTGAAAGTAACGCGAATAGGTATAACTTAATGGTTTCTGCGCTGAGCTAATACTAAGCCGGCAATTCAATTAACTTGAGACAAAAGTTTACTTTATTGATTCTTGAAAAGCTCTCACTTAAAGTTGCTCACCGAATGAATTACTCGTGAACATTATATTGGCTATATACTCAAAGACACATCTGCCACTGATGTACGACAGTAAAGGACATAAGGCATTAAGGATGAAGCATGCATGCTCGAAGGCACGAAAGACCATGGTAATATTCAGGATTGCGGAATGAAAATTTAGGTGTTGGCTACTGTGACTAGTTAAATTAAGAACAGGGGAAAAGCTGGTTTTTGTTCACTTGCACGGGTTTCGTGAAATTGTTACCAAACAACAAGTACAGATTCGAGCAGTTAATTGGTTTTTACAAGAATGAATTGATTACTCTCTTTACCAAGAGTCTCGGCCTACAAAAGTTACAAAAATAGGTTTTATGCTTTATCACGATAATATATGCACCTCATGTTTAAAGTAAAAGTTGATACTTTTATCATCCACGTTATGGCTATATGGGTCTCGGCCTGAAAAAGCTACAGAAATAGTTTTCATGCTTTATCATAATAATATGTACCACATGTTAAAGTAAAAGCTGATACTTTTCATCATCCACGTTATTAGTTATGGCTATATGACATTCGTAATTTATTTTTTCTATTCCCAGGATTAAGAAACTTGAAAATAAACAGAATTATAATAAGGATGGATCGAGATCTCGCACTTGAACAAACAGTACTTAGATAAGCACTAGCCAGGGAAACAAAAGACGGTTTAGCAACTCACTCTACCTCAAAAGAAGATCGCCATAGGTACTTTGAGAGTTGACGTAAGAGGTTACGATTCTGCATAGATAAATGATGAGCACGTGAAGGAAAATCTCTAAATATAAAGGTGAAAAAAAAAATAAAATTTTTTTTGTCATTATTCAGCCACTACCACCCCACGTATATTTACCCACAATAGAAAACTTTTAATCTGAGAACGGTGTCTGTTTCTAAATGATAATGCTTTATCCAGACCATGGCAACCTTCTAACATGCAGACTTCAATATGCAATAATAACATGTTTCAGACACATTGACGAAAATGGCTATCACTATTTCAATAACACGTACGTTTAAATCAAAACGATGTAAACATCTGATATTAATATTAAACTGCCTATGTTTATATCAAATTTAGGACCTGCCTGAAACAACTAAAATGTCAGAGTTCTGAACTGAGATGTCCCGAACTGAATCACAATACCTGTAACCAATATATTTATGAACATATTAATCCAACTACTACGCAGATTCTATCAGTAATAGATGCTTGGCTAACTTCTGTATGAATCTGGTTGAGTAATTGACGATAAACGTGACACATAACTAAAAGGTAATTGAAATTGACAACCAGTGGCGACGAAAAGTCGAAAGTTTAGAACTGACATAGAATATTACGATTGTGTTGTCGAGAAAAATAAAGTAGAATCAATACAGTCATACCTGTATATCTCCCATTTTGTTCAGCCTCAAGTGGGACTATAAGCGGGTGAGGGTAGAGGATAGAACATTTGTTTGACAATGGCGAGGTGAAATAAAGCGAGTGGGGATATAAATGAAGGGGGGCGAACTATAGAGCGAAAGAGTGCCATCGACCGACTCTGGATGGGTATATCTTAATCTTGTGCGAATTTTCGTAAGTTGCGACCAAATGAATTTAAGCTTTGTAGTAAATAATGAATAAGACATTTATTTGTATGCAAATTTTCACACAACGATATGCATTTTGTGGAAAGTGATTCCATATTAAGCAACCATTAAAGCTTGTTTGGATCGTCAAATCTGATAACGGAAGATCATATGTGAGGTTACCATTTCTAAGCTATCACCATCTATTTACATCGAATAAAGGTTATTATATTTCACTTACATTATCATTAATCTTGTACACGTGACATCACATGCGAGAGTCACATTACGAAACCCGATAAAGGGACAAGACCCGCTCAAATCATTAAGGCAAAACTGAGTAATACCTAAGTGTATTATGACTTGGATCGTTTAGCATCTTGGGTAGACATAGTGCTATCATACCGATCCAAGCTGACTGACTCACTTTAAAAATTTCCGAAAACAGGCATTGGACAAAGGAAATGAACAATATAACAGACTTTGGTTTGAATATCAATAAGTCCGGATATCGATGCTCGGTGCTCGTGCAGAATGTTAGCAATAGATTATATATTATACAGTATATAACAAAGTCGACTGCACCGAGAGTCGTAGAAAACTTGGAAAAATATTACATATATAAACTGCACTTGTTTTTTAATAAACCTTATTTATGAAAGTCACTTCTCATCCACATACTAATACTTGTAGTCTATTGGATAATGCATCACGATTATAAACTATCCCACTTTTAGGGATGTGGAAACGAAAGGTCTAGAAAAGACGGTCGACAAGTAGAGTATAAGATGATAAAGAGGTTTTTCTAGTAGTAAATACTACATTATATATGGTATTTTCAAATACCAATACCATTGTTACGTATGGATATAAAAGGAGATTGAAACATGATGGCACTTTGAGAGCGAAAGATGATTTGACGGTGTGATGTGGTCTGATTTTTTACATTGACAATCAGAATAACTACAAAATAATGAATAAATATGGCTTCGGTCGAAAAGGACAAGTTTTTTTCCTTGAACCAGCCTCGAAAGTTGAATATAAAACCATTGCATTTGATATATAAAGATTCCATCCTTTCATAGTTTTTGATATTTTCGTTATTATATCTGACACAGCTTTGATTTCATCACTCTGCGTGCGATTGTTTGTTCGCCAGTTTTTTCTTTAGAGTTTTTTTAAGTAATATAAAAATTTCTTGTCTTTGCAACCTTGGTTATGTCCAAGACACTTTCAAGAACGCCACCGCCAATTGACCACATAGACTACCGATACCCATTGTATATCGGTGAATGGACCAAGTCGCTTCCGACCGTCGAAAGTCAGTTTGCTACAGACAACCTCGACGAACCCCACCTCAAACGTCGGTTAACGATACTCAAACACTATCCCGAAATCGAAAAACTTTACGGATATGATTCGTGCACGGTATTGATTGCACTCTTTGCCGTATTTGTTCAACTGTGTGCAGCTTTTGTGTTTGGCCGCGTTCTCGTCGATTGGCATTGGACAATGTGCGTATGTGCTTATGTGGTTGGAGGTTCGGCGTCGCAGTTACTCGGAAACATAATCCACGAGGCAGCTCATGGACTGACCGCCAGAACCATGTTTCAGAATCGGATTGTTGGGTTGATAGCTAATATTGGTATACCAGTTCCTCTTGCAATGTCGTTTCGTCGATATCATCTTGAGCATCATGTGAATCTGGGTATAGTGGGAATAGATCCAGATCTGCCAATGAAGTGGGAGGCCGAGTTCATTGGCGGTAATGCGATAATGAAGTTTTTATGGTTGAATATATATCCCATATTGTATGTTGCACGTGGTATCGCTATACAAAAGTATCCACCACAAATGTGGGAGTATTTGAACGTAGTGTTTACTAGTGTGGTCGATTTGTCGATATATGTCGCATTTGGAATGCGAGGATTTGGCTATTTGTGTTTATCTGCATGGTTTGGATATGGGTTACATCCGGCTGCTGCACGTTTGATACAAGAACATTATACCTTTGATGATGGGCAAGAGACGTATTCGTATTACGGAATTCTTAATTACTTCTTTATGAATAGCGGATATCATAATGAACACCATGACTTTACAAAGGTAAGAAAACAAGACGAGAGAGGGTAAGGTTTAGGTTAATGTTGTAGTAGTTAGACTGAGATTAAACTGAGGTTAGGCTAAGGCTAGATTAATGTTCGGAAGGTTGAAGGAACAAGAGAACGGGTGAGATTGATTCGAGTCATACATATACATGTGACGGATGATATTGAACACAACAAAAAGTTTTGTGTTGCCATTTATGCCAACGATGGGAAGAAAACGAGGCAGATTAAAACATTCATTTGTATGTTTAATCAACGTATTTGATTTAACACCATCGATTGGGCTGTTCTTCCTTCCTAAATTAACTAGATCCCGTGGTCACGCCTTCCGGAAGTGCGCAAAATAGCAAACGAATATTATGAAAATCTCGCCTATCATACTTCATGGTTCATGGTGCATTGGAACTTTATCACGCAAACAGAAATTGGACCGCAAAGCCGCGTTAAAAGAACAACCATCAGTCAAAAACGGGGACGAAAACTCTTGGGCTTGTTGAAGGAGGCATTAAATAAAGAGCTAAAAAAGGAATGAGGTGATGATGAGAAATTGCATCGAAGGATCCGACTGCGATTGCGAGTACCCGTTATGGAATTGAAGTGTTTTCTTTTGCTTTATATCTGCAAGACACGTTCTTCTTTGGATAAAATGCAACAAGTAAGAATGGTACAAGCTGTTGACATTAAAAACACACAACTTGATATCATCGATTATTAAAATACATTTAAAGGTATTTGTTTGCTTATTATGTACATTGGATGATAGTCATTTCGACAGAAATGTGTATTAAAAAAGTTAGCTAGTTATGTATTTGTATGAATTAGTAATGTTTATCTGATAAAACGATATAACAATAACATTGAGTAATTTGTCGTGTGACATATTAATTGATATCGCAATAAGAATTAATTTTTAAACGTGCAAACTTTAGTTATTATCTTACTTTTTTTTTCACATCAACCAATAATATTTCTCCCTTCCTCTGCCACCCCCTTAATTTTGCTAATATTAAAATGCCAAGCTGTCCCCCCAGTATTAACTCTAATCATCAACCCCGAAAGACGTTCGTACAACGTCCAAACTGTTGTACTACTAGCATTCGACTTAGTATTGTCCTGTTGAATGCAATGCCTAAATAACGTGGGCATATATTTTTCCCGTGTTAAGAAGACATCCCCTAACCCCCCTTGCAAGAAAAATAAAACTTTTTTGACAAACAAAAAGTCGTTAATTATCAGTTATGTAAGAAATGTATGCAAGTTCGAATGCAATTATCAACGATATCAGCTTTCATCAATACTCTCATGCAAAGCTCTTATTAATTAATACGTCCAACCATGCAACTTTTATTACCATTCATATAAATCATGCAGTTTCCCGTACTGACATATTGTGTCACCTCTGTAAAAAAGATTTTCGGCCGGAAAACCGCACGACTTTCACCGATACAATTTCAGCCAATCGTTTATGCATTATTTGTGTAAATCGACCCTACATATGGTTAGCAGGGAACGCGTGCGGACAATAGATAAAGTTACACGCTTCCGATTTGGTATCTTCATAATGATGACCATCGAAGAATTGGGAAGTGATGTGTCGCACTGTACGTTCTAACTTTTTCAAATCACCCAGCAAAAGTCGTACAGATAAATGTTAACGGATTATCACATTGATATTTAATTATAAAGAGGAGTTTTGTCTGGAAGACTGGCAAATTGGTGGATTGGTTAAGATTGTCAACCTTTTTGGGCGCCGTTGCGTCTGCGGACTATTATATCTTGGAATTTAAGATATAAGAAACGTTCGCGCCTTTCTGCTTGGCAGTATTTGGCATTCTTCCGTTCATATTCCTCTTTCTTTGATAATTTGGTGGTGGTTAAGCAGCATTAGTAGTCGCTGGTCGATGTATTAATACTCATATAATACATTCAATATATAATACTTTGCACATTCCCCCGTTCTACTTGTTCTCCCACGACTCTAATTTGCTTACCAAACCAAGTTATTAACGTAAAAGAAAAAAAAAAAGGAAAAAGAAAAGCACACCAAAAAAAACCAAAGCGTATTGAACGAAACAATCAATTCAAAAAGTTATCTCTTTGCTCTTCCATACAATTCGCGGCTTGGCTTGTCCAAACAAATTTACAACACAACCACCGAAAAGTCTATCCCATGTTCACGTCGTTGTTCTTGTATCCTGACACAGTGTCCAGTATAATAATAACAAATTCGATTTCATAATGGTGAGATTGGTCAACAATTTCACTCGAATCTGCACTTTTGACGACAATCAATCATGTGTATGCGACTTTCGCGTGAACATTACCGGATGTGCAGAGGAAACTTTTCTACGCTTTTCATACTGGATATTGCTGATCTTAACTGCGACAACAATGCTTACTTCGATTGTGACGCTGGTCCATCGAATACTTGTCAAACACCAGTCATTGTTCTTTCCACCATCTAAAGAAAGAGGAATATTACGACCGCGACCCGCAGATACCTTTCATGTTATGGCCTGTTTATTCTGTTTGCGTGAGTATATAACTAACGAAAGATGACAAGGATAATGAGAGGCAGATGATGATGGTAATCAATTTGTTCTAACATGTTCCTCTTCTCTCTCCCCCTTCCCTTCCATCCTTTCAGTCTCTGGCATTGATATAATTTTTCTACTAAAGGAAGCCTACGGCAATGTTGCAGTGGCAGAAAGTAAGTACATGGTTACGCATTATTCTGTTTTATCGCAACGTCGTATCTAATCATCATCTTCCAATTCTCACAATAGTCGGGTTTGCCTTACCTCGCGTACTCACTCTATCACTAACGACGTTATACCCAATTAGTCTGAGTAAGTTTGATGGGACCAACTCCCCCCGTCAGTTGTCCAATTCTCCACTTGTTTATCGATGTAATCTCACCAATAACACGTCTCCTTCTCTTCTTCCGTTTCTAGTTTACTCAATAGCCTCACTCGATCCAATAGCCAAGAGGCAGATACGATGGACACACAATACTTGCATGCTTGATATCATAAGCGTTAGCGTTATACTCGGTCCGCTTGTCTCTGTGTTGCCAATTGCGTATCTTACAGGTCACCTTGCTGACAACAACAATTTCAAAAGTGCCAATAATATACTCAAACTACAGTATTTTCTCATCGGCATCTGGGACTTGGGTTATACTATTTCAACGATACTTGTATGGTACAAATTAAACAATGTTTTGAGAGATTATTCAAAAAGCTTGAGAGAAATTCACAGAAAAGGTGTTTATTATCAATGGCGAGTCATGGAGTTGAAAAGCTTTAAATGGAGGGTGAGTTTTGTTGAATCTTTTTTCCAAGAGATTGCGTGTCAGACTTTTGTTGACTGTCTTTTTGCTGAATGATCTGGGTTCTGTCTTCCCCTCTCGCCAAAATAGCTAATAGGAATATTCGCCTTGTTGACTTGCATTTATTTCACTGACGGCATCTCGCGTTTCGCTTTTGTTTTCGTTGCCAAAAATCCTTCGATCTGGAAACAAGGAATTGGGGCATTGTTCATGATATTTTGGAATTACGTGCCTGTAGTTGTAATTACCATTGTCCAAATAGTCTTGTTTTGCCGGTAAGTAAACAAGTGGTTTGTTAAATGAGATTACTATTTTAAATAATAACTTACATTTGCTTTTTCACCAAAAACCGTATCTCCCTCCCTCTCAATCGATGTAAAGAAAAACAGCCTTGGTACCCTCCCAAGCACTACAGCGCGCTTCCTCTCAACGATCTCAACGATCTCGCCGCTCTTCGCATCGTTTCGCATCCATTTACGATACGTCTACTGCAACAAGGCCATATGTGTCTGGATCCGGCTGGTTCGATCAGGATGCGGAAAACACAAAGAACAGACCCGATATTTCAATCGAAATACCACTGGACCCAATACATGCCGGACATGCCAACGTTGGGACATCATCGTCATCAGCAAGAGATAGTAATCCGACTCCATTTATTTCTCCGTTGAGGGGCAGCAACATTTGGGATATAGATTACACGAACAAAAAGAAGACGTCAAATTCGGCATTGTCTGATGCTTACCGTCGAGGGAAACTTGGTAAAGGCGTGGGTCGTACATCTACAGTACAGTTTGATGATGGATCTGGAACTGCACCTTCACCTGCAGTTGCGGTCGGATTAATTGATACTGCAACGGAGGATGAGGCTGATCGAGCTCCTGAAGAGATCGAAGAGAATAAGGAGACGAAAGAAGCCGCTATTGATGATGATGTTGAGAAAGGTGAAAATGGGAATGGAGGGAATGGAGGTGATGGAGGTGAAGGAGGCAATGGAGGCAATGGAGGGAATGGAGGTGATGGAGGCAATGGAGGCAATAGAGGGAATGGAGGTGATGGAGGTGAAGGAGGCAATGGAGGCAATGGAGGCAATGGAGAGAATGGAGGGAATGGAGGCAATGGAAAGGATGGAGGTGATGGAGAGGATGGAGATGAAAGTGAGAGTGAGATCGACAGGAAAGTATGGCTTGTACAGAAGCCTCTTCGTGCTGTCCTTAGGGGTGAATCACATCCGTTGCGCGATGTCTAACGTGAATGTATAATATACACACATATATACATATTTGTTTATTTAATTTCAACTCCATAATGATAGTCTTTAATTGGTTTTCTCAAAGTTTTTGTCATGGGAAAGATGTCAGTTTTGAATAACTGATTTGTAGATATTTGGTAATTGTTCTCATAGTAGAAAAATAAAAGTTTTAAATAAATTACGCGAGAATTTGGACAATAAAAGAACGGGAACAATCGTCTTGCTCGTAGGACGATATTGTGATAAGTGTGATATTTGAGAGTTTCGGGTATTACAATGATTTCTTGAAATTAACAGGATAAATGAACACAATGGTGCGACATAAACATGGGTTATCTCTTCCCCGAATAAGTAATATTAGTTGTTTAATGTTTATTCTTTGTTACTATTTTTAAATATTAGATTCGCACATACGTCTTCGATAAGAAGTTGTATAACTTTTATAGTCTTACAACGAGTTTGATATTATTATTGTTATCTGAAACAGGTACAAAACAAAAAACTTGTACAATTAATTGCTTTATTTAATTATTTCAATACTCATTTATTAATTATCTGGAGATAACAAAGGGCACAACGAATTCCTGATGGCGTAACGGGTAACAGCGCAGACTCTTCGGCTAGGTTATTACTGACATATCATAGTAAACATTGGTTGATCTTTCACAAATTTAAATTGAAAATCGTCTCCGAAAGTGGTATCAAAAAAGGTGGTTACTATTATCATTATTAGTATTAATATGTGTAATTGCGGATTAACGTTTTCCTACATCACGTGGTTTGTTTAGAATTCTTGTGCAATAATCCATCGATTCTTTATTCTCGTTCGCCTAGAATAAAGGGGGAAACGCCAACACAATTCAAACAAAGTTCGTCATTAGAATATAGAACAGTTTCGATGATTGAATTTAATCTAGATGTCTTGCGCTACGTTGACTCCAGAAATTAATAATACTTTGCCTCCCTCTTCCAATAGAGCAAGTTTGTATACCGACAGAGCGTAACCTTATTGGATGTTCTTATTTAAGATTTGTTGTCGAAACTCAATATTTCAAATATAACTCTCCCTTTAACTAAATAAATAATATGTCAACAGTTGTAAGGAATACGAAACTGCTAATTGATCCTGCTTACAAATTCTGAATAGTATTATGCGGAATTGTTCATGGCATTGAAGGAAGAGTGGACTCGTATAACCTTTCGATTTTTTTTAGGCAAACAATGTCGTGCTTTTGTCGCATAACGTGACAGCGTTTAACGTTTAGCAATTGTGTTTGCGTGTCTTTAACAAAGACTGAACGTTTTTTTATGACCAAGGATTTGAGAATGTTATGAGGACAGTAATTAATTTTCGTATGCGGCTAACCAACATTATCACTTAATTGATTGTATGCCTTTCGTATTATAAATTAACAGCTTGTAAGCTGTGTGTTTATACGAAATCTTATAACTAATATATGGTACAAAATCTAGTCCTTATGCAATAAGAGTAATTACAATCAACTCTGAAATGATTAGGGAACCAAGCTAAACTGCAGGGTATGATGATGCATTCTATGATTAATATAACAAAGCTACCAGAGTCAATTCTCTTTATTGCGAAGAAAGCTAGTTGTCATAAATGTGTCATCTCAATTAGTAGTGTAGGTAAAATTTAAGACATGGATTCACTTTCAAATGTACTTGTGCCCGATAATACATATTAATACAAGGGTTTGCAAAAATTCCTTGTCATTCGTGAGTAATTTTCAATCTATACTATGTAAAATACAATTAAATGTGTGTCGAAACGTCTGTTCATTATTTTGCTCATGCTTTTGCATTGCTTGTTAACCCGGTTTTATAACGACTTTAAGCATATCTGTCAGGTCGCTAAGCATTTCTTGAAACATATTTTCTTTAAATTATGAACTAATTTGCTAATAATTAGACGTTAAATCTAATTAAATCTTCGGGTTATTATTAGTGTTATTAAGAAAGTGCATACCCAAAATTTAGAACATTTTGTGACGGAAAAGATGGAGTTACTATTACATTTAAGAAACTCCCTCTAAATTAGTTTGGTAAAATTAACGGAGACCGTGGTAGAAAATAATGATGATTGAAGTTCCTGATCATAAAAGCTGCTTGTTCTAGTCAATTATATATATCGAAGAGCGTTCGCCTTCAAATTAATTGAGAATATTTCTACTCACAATATTTTACCGTTAATAGGTCAAAATTCTGACTACTTATTTTTTCCCACCTCAATCAATACTGGGCCAATTTATCCGCCCTTAACTACTGTATACTTTATCTCGACAAGTTTGACATTAAGCATAGTTTTTTGTTATAAATTATATTAGCACAACTAATAACACAATTTTATTTAAATTAGTCAAGTCACAAGATATCGATCTTTGATATTTGTTGATGTTTATATTAAAATAATTTAGTTCGCTCATTATAATATTTTTTTGTAATCTATTAATTATCACTTTAAATCTATGAAGAAACATGTGTGTTAATTTTGTCAAGTTTTGTTTCTGTTATCGCTCCAATAAACAGGGAGTGAGTTGTGACAATCAAAGGCTACTATGTTCCCAGGCCATATGAATACATTATTATCTCATCCTTTTGTTTACCTGACATCATTACCGTTACGCGCGCCACAAACACTCGTGTGTAAATTATGTTTGCTTCGACTGGTAAGGTAACAACCGACTTTTAAATTGTCTCGCTTGCCAAAAACAACAAGCGTTCTGTATTTTTTTAACAGCATTAAGTTTTACAATGATTTAATGTCAGCACTAAAAGAATATAATTTAGTAGGGAAAAACCCGATAGTAACGCAAATTATGCGTTGGACTTCCCAACGTCAATACAGTGAATGCCGCAAATCGATCGATTACAAAATAGAACTACTGACTTTATGGAATCTTATTAATTAGCCTGTACTTCTAAACATGTCATATTATTATATGAGTAAACCTTCAAACAAGCTCCTGCAAGTTGTAAAATTACAAAATTATGAGTCACCAAGTACTGAAAGGCTCTAACATTATAATGCTGAATTTTGTTTTGCTATTATTTAGAGTTTTGTGTTTGGACCAGTAATATTATTTATAAGTAGTCGGGTGGTGAGAATGATACTTGAATAAAATATGTTTGCGTAGCCACTCCACTTTGGAGTGGAGCGCAACCGCCACAGTTTTTTGTACAATTCGCGTTTTTTGTAAAGAATATTACACGTAATATGAATGCGTTAGTGGAGAAAAGTCAAAGGTGCGTAGGTCCGTATTATCCAACTGTATGAGGAAAAATGAGTCGAACGATGTAGATGCGAGAATCATAAAGAGAATATTAGTAATAGTAATGAAGAGAAAGGAAAGGAAAGACACGACAAATATTGGAAATGAGAGAATAATAAGGGTGTAGTTGCACATAGTAAGAGCACTCACGGTCATACATTAGTAATAAGAATCGTTAGAATTCATCACGTTTAATTAACATTTCTTTCTAATAAACGAGTAGTTGTTTATGCGTTTTCAAAAAGCACTTTTTGATGAGATTCCTATTTATCACAAGTGAGCGTGTGATTGTTTTTTGGGCAAGATGTTTATGCCAACTATTAGAAAACAGGGAAAGGAAGGCTCAATATTGTGATTTGGAGGACAAGATAACATCACCCGCGATTATGAGAGAGCGATACCAAGTTCGAGTAAACACCCGGATGTAGGCGGCAAAAGTAAAACGCTGCAAACAGTAAATAAAATCCAGAAACAACTGATTAATTCAGAGCGGGATTCTTTATAGAACCACAACGGACCAAAATCTGGTGTACATCCAAATCCAAGGTTTATACAGTCGATGGTCTGGAAGACAGCACATCCCCCCCACATGGATAGACACTGATTTGGAGTTCCTGCAGGTAGACTGTATTCTGCTTTGCGGTCATGCTACAAATACAAGTACGTCTGGTTTCGATTACAAAGTCAATGCCAGCATTTATCGCAGTGAAATCGATATTGGTGAGATGAGAACCTTTGCAAGCGTATAAGCTGAGAAAGGCTTATAATAATTCTGTTTCATTATTCCTATTAATAAAGATCCAATACTACTGCAGAAAGTCCGTTATGTTTATAGAATTAAAACTGACATATAATAAAGTCTACATTAGAGTGAAGAATTTTTCTAAACCAAATTAAAATTTTACTATATTCGATATAGCGAAGAAAAATCCCCGTCCCGTGGACTGTATTCTACGGAATATCACCTGTTCAGCCGTTCAGCCAGTCTGCTTACGTTAAGTCGAAGTGATATGCTCACTTGACTCGCACATCGATGAGGTATTATCAATTAACGGAGTCTGCGTATCTGGTATGAAGGCTGCCTGCGCAGAGTAATTATAGAATTGATGGCTCCTGGCGGAATGGAATACCGAACGTTAGTTCTTCATGTAGCTGGGTTAGGGTAACTGTGCAGACAATACAACAGTGAAAGTGGATGCCTCGCGCGAAGATCTAGATGCACATCCCAATTGAATAGTATAAGCGGCCAGGCGATCCCGAGCTTATCTCGAGTATGTGATGGTTTGCCAACGTCCACGAAATATCTTGCGTCGCAAAACTCGAATCTTGCAGACCCCGATTTCCTATTTCTCAAGCCTTTTCGTTTCCCAGACATACCAAAATATTCTATTTGATACGCAGCGGTCGCAGAGACTTTAACACATGGTAAATATCCGGTCCCTTCTTTTTAGATAAACAAACATGGTGTTTTAAGTGAAATCGGACCTGTAGTAATTAAGACAAGAAAAGAAAATTATAGTATATGATTGATAAAAATCTAAGAAAGTTAAAATTTGGCAATCGCTCCGCTTTGAAGTCAACATTTCAGGCTGATATTTAATGTGTTTATGACAGCATTCATGTCTCTTCCACTAAGACACCATTTGGACGGCGAAAATCCATCGATAAGTGCAAGTCCGCTGTTATTTCGATACTAGTTTGGGATTAAAACCTCTTGCTTGTATCCTCTCGTTGTTTTCATGTTCCATTAGGTTATCGAAAGGTTGTTCCATTAAAGCTTCAATACTTTCTCGCCTTGAAGCATTCGGCGTTGTCCTTGCGAATGAGAGCATATCAGAATTAGATACAAAGATCAGCGTTGCGGAAATTGCTGTATTCCTGGGGGCATCCGGTGAGATGCGAGTTATCAAATATTAAATCGCCTTGTCCTTGTCATGAGCATGATTCGAAGGCCAAAGCTGCTGATTTGTTGTTACTACCAAACAAAAGCACAACAGTTGTTACGTATCAAAAGTCATACTTAAAATCTTTACCATCATACATTCTTGTGGACTATTTACAAGACCGGCTAATTACTTCTATGGTCGTTGCGCTGTTGCTCGAGTTTTAGATTTTCCTTGCAGCGGTATGCAAGCATCCCGATTTGTAGCGACTATGATTGTTATTGTTTATAGGAACATGTGATATAGATATGCACAGTATCAGCATGTTTCATTTTGTAAACTGAACGAATCACGAACAGTAGATCTTCCCCGTTTAAATTCTATCGCAATGTCGTCTTTTTTTTTTCTCTTTGTTCGATAGTACAATATTAAAAACGCCTGATTATCATGTGGTCATGTGTTGCGACACTCGTTCTATATTATTCCATTACCACGCGTCACTTGCCAAAAGAAGTTGTGCTGAAACGCCTTAAATGCATGGGCGGACGCACCAAAATGTAGATCACCAAAAAGGAGTTAGATTGGATTTTGACAAGCGTAATTCCATGTCTAATGACATCTGTCGTTTCCTTATATAGAATATCTTAACATTGTGTGCGTTGGATTGATGAATGCGATAAAGAGTTTTTCTTTAGTATTGTCAAACGAGGAAATCTAGCATTCGATAAGAAAACGTTGGTGGATATCGCTTTGATCTAGAGAGTAAATGATTCATGACTGATACGGCTGTAGCTTTCTTCCTATGACGTACATATCACATACGAGTGCATTTTACCAATCACTATTCGCATTTGCTTATTTATGTTACCTTCGTACAACCATGCAATAAAGCTATTGCATAAGATTATTGGTCGTTCTCAAAAATAACATGCGCTTGTCACTCTCCTTTCCCCATACTGCTTCTCGTTCGTCTAAAAACGGTCTTCGTTACGGAATAAGTGCATGGATTCAATGTACTGCAGCTGCAGAAAAAAAGTCGGTTTATTTGTCCGATTACTATAGAATTGTTCTGATAGTTGTGAAACTATGAAAAAAAAACGATGCATACAATGACGAAACAATGTACGTAAGATAGTGAGAGAAGAAACAGAGTCAAATATAAATAAAACGCTCTCGTCAAATTTCTAAACTAACAAGTTACAAATGCAAAAACTTAAACATTATAAATTTTAAAAAATTTAGTAAAAACATGTTGATAGAGAAAATAAAAAATTGTTTTTTACTTCATAGGTAAATATTTAAAGAAATTTATAAAGCTGTAAGTAAGTTTTAGATTGTATTTGTCCTCCTTCTTTACTTAACAGACTGGTTATATTGACATATCTTTAAAATTTTAACAGATTTTTTAAAAGAAAAGTTATTGTTTCTACTTCGGCAAGGAACACCTCCATGGCCCTCCTTGTCTGTGGAGTAATAGAATAAACTCCCCGGCGGGTACGGCCAGTTGACTTGCTGCCTGGCTGCTTTTTTCGCCTGTCTTCATAATAGGGCGCTTGCGCCGAATAAGGTATGTCATCAATATGTTTTGATAGTTTTATTTAAAAAGCAAACATTCTTAATTGTAATAATGTCAAATTTGTAGAGATACATAAATTCTGGCGTTTTCTTTTCGCCAGTTTAGATCATATATAAAATTTTTTTAACGATCAAAATTTAACATATTAATATGCATGTAAGCAACTTGCTGCTATCATGTAAAAGTAAGCATGAGTGAGCATTTACACAAACTTAATAAATTGTATCTTGAAGTGAAACTACTCATGCTGCAATCGCCGGGTTATATCACAAATAAAGATCACATGTACTGTACAGTGTGTAACGAAAAAAACCGCTATCATAAAATATACCATAACTCAATGGCCATGCAAAATTTTTAAACATAAAGCTTATAATGTGCTTTATTGCAGGTAAAATTTGCAATACAAAATTCTATCGCCATTTTTCTGCAAAACAAGCTCACACTTTTTTTTTCATCAATGAAATTAATTTTGTACAGTCGTTTCTGGAATTGCGTCCATTCTTCGGTCATAAATTGTTTTATTTCTTAGCATCCATGTTTCAACGTTATTCTTGACAATATTGGTCTTTCATTTAGGGATTGGACGCCATTAAGCCAATAATGATAATTGTTTGTCGTTGAACTTCGTCTCTCTGTGGTTGCAAAGAACAAGGGGGAGAACAACGGAACTAATTACGATAATTATTACTTGAATACATGGAGAGTAATCAAACATAAAGACGGGTTTGTCATCAATAACAACACGCACCCTTGGTTTTTTTACAAAATATGTTCAATTTTCGGAAGGCGGTTTTTTTCGTTACACACTAGATCACGCAGGTCTACTTATCAACCCAATATCTATTTTTTTGCCGTCTTTATTGTATAGTATTACTCTAAATACGCAATAACTACTAATTAGGCGTTTTAGTGTAGAATAAACACTGACGGTATGACGGACAGATAAAAAATCTACTTATTACCAGATATACACGTACAGTGTAAAAATAACAAAAATAGATGTTATGCAATATAGACTATTTTGTTTCGCGTTTTATTTTATGTTTTGACGTAAGCACATACTATTACAGATGTTTTTGGACTATCAAAATTTTTTGAAGAAATACTTTATTAATTTATAACAATAAAATCTCTGCTTATAAACTATTAAATAGGGTATGAAGCTTATTAATTTCTCTAATCATCATAACACAGCAATAAATAGCTTTTTGCCCTCTTTCTATACACTGTAGATTAAATATTTATCATACTGTAACAGGAGACAATAAAGTTGTAATAGACGTTGACTAACTTGTCTGAACAAAAGCTATTGAGTGTATCATAAACATAAGTCGAAAGAAAGACGATTACAATGAAGATGCCCAGTGTGACCTTTTCGCTTACGTTTTAGAAAATTCGTAAAGTAAATACATAACCCTGCGAATGTTTATTATATTTTGCTGGCATAACTTTTTTACAAATTTTTTTGCTAAGTAGATTCTGATCTGCTCCAGTCATTGTATTTCAATAAAAATCTCTCTAAAATTTACTGATCGAACAGTTACTTTAATGTTCTTATATAAAAACAATTAACTTAAACAAAGATCAGTTAGTGAGTTAGTATAAACGAATATTTAAAGCATAGAAACTTATATATTTACCAGGTAATGATATCTTTCTGACATTGTAAAACTTGTAAATGTTGTGTCTGAGTCCGAGATACCGTCACGCTTAAACTTAGTATGTTCGATGTCATGCAGTTTAAATAGCACAAAAACGTGTAATCTATTTCAGGAGTCATAATTGTCAAGCTTGAAAGATCACTTCTTTAAGTGCAAGGATGCATGCAAAATAATATTGGTTTACTCAGGAAAAAATTATGTATTGAACTGATTGCATTTGCTAGCTTGGAATGCTGTCACAATGAAATGATCTGGTTTCAACATAATGGTCCAAAGAACCAATAACGTCAAAATCAAATATACTAGACAGAAAGTCGAATATTAAATTTTTCCTAAGCAAAAAATATTAATTTTAGTCTTTATTCAGAAAGGTAATTACTTTTACAATAATATGCCAAAAAGAGGAAATAGACAAAGGCTGAGATGGTAGTAATAATTACATGAAAATCCAAGCTATGAATGCGTATTAGTACTGTATGACAAATTTTTGATTACTCGGTGTCATCTATTTTCACCTATAACTATTATTGTTACTATATCGATAGTAGTGTCACTGGCATTAAACTTTGTTCTTCTTTTCATCAGCTTTCCTATCCAAGTATTCCTCATCTATGTATTGCCGGTTGGGCACAGAACCAACATTTTACTTGTAGACAAGATTTCTAATAAAGACATCCAGACCATTATTCTTTTCTGAGTAATTCAATAGCCATTTGTTGGACAAAAGGTTCGAACCTTTTTGTCGATTTTTTGATGGATAGTTTTTCACGTAGGTATTGTGATACTGATAAATTGTTATTTTGAATCTTTTCATGTAGGTTGTTTCGAGTATTTTGGGACGTTGAGTGTTGACGTTAATAGTTCTGTTATCGAGTTTGCCGATTGGTCGGTATTAGTAGTAGGTGAGGGTAAATGGTTTTTGTAGCGTTATGGTTATTTATTGTTCTGATGTAGTACGCCCATTTGCAGTTTTCTTTGTTAACAGATGGAAAAGGTAGTTGTTATACATCCAGTTGCGTAAAATTATCTCCCACGTCGGGTCTTAACTCATTACGTTACATCAGAGAATGTACATAGTGTGCACCAAATGCTGTTTCGATGCGTTTTCCGGCTCACGTTATAATTAATTTCCCCATTTTCAATTTATCCTTCGCCGCATTGGTTGACAGCTGAACACTGTATTTGCATAGTATCAAACATTATTCGTCATCAGTATCTTTTTTCTATCGAGCATGTATTATCTCCACTCAAAATTTACGTAAGTAGATTGAGCGTATATTTTTTTTGTTTATTTTATTTACCGCTAAAATCACAGAAAAAATTAATCCTAATAACTTACTCACTAACTCAGCCAGGATAAAAAACTTTTATTCGTCGGTTTTTTAACTCTTCTTTAATTGTAGTCAGATAAGTTTTTTAGTTCAACATATTCTTTCTTGGTAAAGAAATTTCGTGTATCATTTAACCGGAACAAAAACTGAGAATTCACCAACTTACGCATCTATTGTCTCATCCTAAACACCAACAAGTTTCTGAACTTAAACCGGCCGACTGAAGTAATAGAGCTACTGCCGAATCAATCAATTCCAATTACTGACTGGGATGAACGAAATGATAACTTATTCCGACCTTACGCGATGCTGATTCAATTTCCAGACACCCAGAAGGTGTGGCACCTTAGGATAAGTATACCATTAAAGACCATGCATTATTATAATATGAATAATGACAAACATCCTTTTGTCATACAAGCCGTTCACAACCTGAGCAGTTTCTTTGAAAGAAAAGTGATAACTACTTGATAAAATTGGAGTCCTGATGTCGAATTTCGTTCTTTGATTCTTGCGTTTCGGTGTAGTCAATGTGTATTAAGTTAATATTAAGGAGAAAGACCGGATAATCAGCAAAATGAAATTGTGAAAGAAATGAAGAATGCGTCATGATGCCCTTCTCCAACACAACATGTTCAGAGTTGTAGTTTAACGCATGAAACCAGCATATGCTCTACCAGGCAACCAAAAATTCCTAGGATGCACGTTCATATACTGCGAAAGAATCGAGGGTCAGAAGCTAATTGAAAAAACAACAACAGTAACACATTATGTCTCATTTATGATAACACATCTCGTATGACGCCTGATCATGACTCTCGCTTCCATACAGAATTATCGTTATCATTTCTTATTACCCATCGTTTGCTCTACGATGGATAACGTGATACGGTAAACAGAGCTTCTTTAGTAGCAACTTTACCGATTCATTAAATACAAGACGCGCATCAGAAAACCCACGCTCTTTCTGATATTCAAATTTCAAAGCAAGATTACTAGAGTCTCGTTTTACTTTCATACCCGGGGTTCCGTCGAACAATCACAAAGGCCATGACAGACCTGCAATAATTGAAAGTCTTTGTTACATGCTTCCCACTTTCCCTATTGAAAATCAAAGTTCAAAAATTTGCTTAATACTGTGTAACAAGTACATAATAAACGCACTGTTTCAAAATGTTTCTTTAGTTAATACGGTAGAGAAACAGTTAGTTTGATTGTCGATTACATAACGTTTCATGCATATGCGGGATTATAAAGGTTAGTTAACTTGTAATTACATCACACAAGTTGATGAAATACGATTAAGGAAAGGACTAGAAAATTGGCTTACTCAATACATGTCTTTAAATTCTAAAGACACGAAATCTATAGATAAAAGCAGTCAACAATCACACTTTTAGCCCTGGTATCAAAAAGGTTCACAGCCTCCTCCCAAATTGGCTTTTTAACTTTTGCCACATGTAATGAAAATCGTGTCAGTCTAGCCATATAGCGCATACCGATCTCTCTTGATATTGGGCGACGTATGTTTCTATTTTTTTTTTCCCCTTGTGCTAATGAATTTTTGAAATAAAATGATGTATTCTATGGGGTGGGAGGGTGGACAGATTAGTAAGAATCATAACTAAAATCGCGCAAAGCCGATATTATCACTAAATGACGATATGGCAGCATGCCACAATATTAGATATGATTGACAAGCCATACAAACAAAGGGAATTTTGCTGTCTTTATTTCAAGGCGCGCGGGTGGGGGCGAATCCTTTGCAATTCGATGGAACGAACACAAAAAAACATCTTAACCGAAAATAGAATATCGAATATACTGGGATGTTGTAGAAAAAGGCTGGGGACCGTCTAACATGCGTTTCCAAAGGAGAGAACTAAACTTTACAGATAACTGTGTGAAAGGGCGTGAATGACCATATGCGGACAGCTCTTTCTCGATAAAGCTCCATCGATGCGGTTCCAAACATGTGAACATTAATTATGAGACTGGTAATTAAATTGATTTGAACCAATCAGCGACGCCCCAGCCCGACCTCTTCGCCATATTAGTTGCACTAAAGTTTACATAGTTTAGACTCATTAATTTATATGCGAAATAATTATAATAATAATAACAATGTTACTTTTTTTTATTAGCAGCCATTGAACTCTAATTGGGAATAACTTATAATCGATATCGGAACTATGTTATCAATTCTAGACGGAAGCGTGCGTTCGTACGACAAGAGCGAGATATTGGGAATAATCCGCTTTTATGTCGATATTGTTATATTTTGGCGTAGGATCTGCGTTCTGCTTATTATGATTATTGGACAAAGATTGTGAGATTGTTTATCAAATGCATTGTCACAGTATTAATAATAACAGTTGGCGGTGGTTTTTTTTCAAATTAGTGTGTGGAATGCATTATCATGTTGTCATAGCATGGCCTGTTCGTGAAGATCTGCAATTCGTTCCAATGAGAATGTTACCCACAGATCTTTGGGGTTGGTGCACTATCTTTCTCTCCCTCAAACGCTCCTCCTTTTAATCATGTTTGTCCCACAAGCATTTATTCCTGTTTTGCATTTTGCTCTGAATATTCCTTATTATTGCACAAACAACTGTGTTACCAACAAGATGTCTGTTGTCGTTCCCAGGAATGTTTATGGGGAGGGGAGGAAAGAGTAGGAGGATGTCTAATGCGGCACTTACCGATAATGCGCGAACGGGAACAGGTTGTGTGTTACAATTGATATACGGAATATGTTACACACGGCTATTTTCATAGTCACTATAACCTTACGTTTTTGCGTTATCAAACGTTTCGGAATCACAGGCTCACGTAGATTTGTTGTGATTGGTTGATGATATGTAAGTGACTCACTGTAGATGTCAATTATTGATATTGCGTGATTATTTGTGGTTAGATAATCCAATAAACTTTGATTTAATATGTGAGGCAAATCACACAAAAATCAAACGGGATTATCATTGGATGATTACGAACAGATGCTCATGACAGACATTGCAAATTAAGTTAGGATACTTGTCACTTATTGCATATGTCCATAGATGCCACTGTTACTCATGCACTGTCACCATCATCATCACAGTATTCCCTGCGGTATCAGGCGTTTGGCGCAGGTCACGCATAATGATGACGAAATTTTTCCCTGCTTGGGTTGATTGACAAAGCAGACGGAAGAAAGAAGAAAAAAAGAAGCCGATAATGGGGAGGGGGTATGTGTGTGTATGTGTATGGTTGTGTATGGCTGTATGATGGATGGGGTTGTATGGATTGTTGCGGGCCATTACAAAGAAGGTTGGTCGTTACAATAATAATAATAATAAGAGATCAACAAACATAATATAAATAAATAATGACAAAAACAAAGCAAGCACGTCAAATAAACGCACCCACATGCCATTTACTCCCTTGATCACATCTCTAACACACAACCCATCTCCGTAGTATATCAGGATGGGAATTTCGTATTATACTACATTTGTTATAATTACCGACTAAAAAAGTCAAACGAAAGGGAGAATTGTCCATTTGGCAGCTGGTGTCATTTGCGATACTTTATTATAAATCATTAATTAATGGATAAATAATTACGTTATATAATATAATGAGGGGGGAGGAGAGATAATAATAGTGATAATCACATATTACAATATTATATAATGTTCAGCCAATCATACGGTCGTACCAATACGTAAATCTAAAATTTCATTCTAACCAAGTTTTCTTCTTTATTGTTCACAATTGCTTGTCTCAGCATAAACTCAAATTCTCGAATCGGAAGTATATCCGGCTCATTGCCGGTTTTTCATGTGATACGACTATTGACATTAGCACCATCCCCTCCCCCCTTTTTTTTCCATCTTTTATGCTACGGTGAATGGTAAAGTCGGGATGACCAAATATAAATAAGGATACACGGCAATCCCTGTATAACACATTTGGTCCACAGTGAACATATTCTGACGCATCACGAAACACAACGACAACGACAACAACACAACAACACAACAACAATCCATGCAACCGACAAAAGGGGTTGGGTGGGGGTGGCACTCAACCTCCTTTCTTTTTTCCTTTTTCTTTCTTTTTTAAATCTGGAACAATAATCAGAATAATCAGTATTAATTTTTTTTAGTAAGACATACGAAATGATCGCACGAAAGTGCCGAATAGGGCCGAGTGGCGGTAGCAAGTCAAAATAAGCTATTCAATGATAAGGAAATAGATCAAGTCAGCACATACCGAATATGGGTTTATATATCTCCATCCCCACATTGGCGTGACATCTGCGTTTCTGATGATGAAATGCATACATACCTTTTTACTAAAAAGAATGTGAAAAAAAGAGTGTGTGTAATGATAAGTTACGGTATATGTATGTGTATGTGTGTGTATGCGTATGTGTGTATATGGGTATATCAATAGAGAGTATGTGTATATGTCTTGGCTATCTATTATTCTATAACCTTTTACTATTTCTGTTCTTCTCTCCCCATAATACATGAACTAAATTAAATGGGTTAATGTATTAATATAATCGCTTTAATCAAACTATATATAGAATAACAGAGTTAACAATTTCGTTATACAAACATTTAGCGATTTTTAATAGTAAAATAAAATTTACAAGTCAAAACCAGCCCATTTGTCATCGTGACACTCGCACAATTAAATCAATATAATGACCCTTTTATAATAGCCTATTTCATGACGACCCTTTTTATAGTAGCCTATTATATGACGACCTTTTTTATTATGACATTTTATAACGACCTTATTTATAATGACCTTTTTAATAATGACCTCTTTTTTTTTTCTTTTGGCGGTAAATAGGCTCCAGGCCAAAATGCTGACCGAGTCCTGTTTCATGACACAATTTTCTTTTTGGACCTTCTGCACTATATTTGGATGGCGTAGAATGGAATGCTTCTTTGTTAATGATTTCCCACAGCCCTATTGCAGAACAAGTTTTCTGCCGGGCAATTTAAATCAACTAACTTTGTTTCTTGGCGCTTATTGCATCAGCCAAAATGTATTGGCTATTGTCATAACTGGAGGTGCATTGCATAGCATATAACACGGGGCTTTCATAATTTTTACCCATTGGGAAAAAAGTGACCCGATAGTGGTTTTTTTTTTCTTGGCCACACATCACATTGCCAATCAATTAAACTACAAATTAGAAATGCGCCCATCACAAAGTTTGACTGTGTAACTTGCCTTATAACACAACCTGCCTATCTACGGAGTCTAGAAGAATCAGGCGCGATTGAGTATTTGTAATCCTCAACAATGGCCTAGATTAATGGCTTTCTGAAAGGTCATTCATTCATTTCACAAAATTCGATGGGAATTTTCTGCAACCCCATACGTGGCAACAAATAAATATTGTTACTTCACTACGGTACTACTATTAATATTATACGGCTGATCAGCCTTCGGACGCAGCATGTGGGTATCCCGATTTGTTCGCGTGTTTGTTTCTCAGCCACGATCTGTCATTTTGAAATGCGAATATAAAAGGCCCACCATTTTCCTCCAAATTGTTGTCCCACAATCTAACCACGCGGTTAAAGGGAAATTCTTATTTCAATAGGGTAAAGTCGGAATAAAACTGGTTAACAAAGATTTTTGACACTTATATACCCCGCCTTCCAACCACTACCCCGCTAATCAGAAATTAAGCATCGTATTGTAAATATATATTCCGATAACCAAATTATTATATAAAAACTCTCTTGCATCTTGTTACAACTCCAATCACTCGTATTTTGTCGATTCATTTTACACATTACTACGATGGAATCGTACATCACTGACAACAACAACTCCAATAATAACAACAACTTTTCTCAACTCATGCAATCAACCGAAATTTATCCACAATTACCATCTCCCGAGATGGCAGTGTCAGATCAGGTAGAAGGAGAAGTATCCTTGTCACCATCACAGTCTCAGTTGATGACACCTCCCCCGACTTCCGATTTACAAATATTATCAAACGAGCAAGAACACAACATGGAGTTGGATGCTACAGGAGCCGATGGATACAATAATGTATGCATGTACATGTCTAATGATTTTGGGTAAATATTTTTTTTTTGAATTTCTTTGCAATTGAATTGGAAAGTGGAATTGGAGCTTTGACAACTGAACATTCAACTAACCGACTCGTTTCAATTTTTCTCTAGCGCTGATGCATTGATAGATCAATTCGATTATATTCCAACATGCGAAGAACTTTGCCAAACACTAAACAACTGGACGGATTCATATACGGCAGAACAAACAATTTGTTCTTCGTGTGGCCAACCATTTGTAGAAGGCACTTTATGGTGCATAACATGCGACGACGCTGATCAAATAATAGTCGACGACACATGGACAGAAAATGCAGAAATAGTTGACGATTCAAATGATACGAGTCAACAGTTAGAAGTGTTCGATTATAGTCAATTCCTCGACCCCTCTGTGGATGTCAGCGACATTGATCAGAAGAAATGGGTTGAATTGCTTGAAAGTGGAATGTTCTCGAACACCGAAGGAGGGAGCGAAGAAGATATAAACAAAATAGGGCACTTTGTATGTGATTCGAATATGTATGCATTTGGATCGATTTATCCGGTTGAAACATCAATTTAGTTTGTAGACACACACGGCATTTTTTTTTATCCATTTTGAAAAACTATAATATGTACAGAATTAATTTTGTAGAATGTCCGAATAAAATTTGCATCCTCCACACTTTTTTTTTAAACCTTTACATCAATTTCGGTTGCTGTTTCGCATGCATGCAAACAAGACACAGTTAAACGACAAAAATATACATCAGTCGTTTACGTCAACGTCCGACGTGAATCATATTAAAGTTTCCGTTATATTATTTGTGTACGCATACGGTCAACACCCCTTTCTTCACAAGTGCGCGCGATGCACATGTTCGGTCGAGAACATCACCTCATTACTATAAATGGGTCAATCGATTTTACGTCTATCGCGTGACTTAAAGCTTATCGTTATTGTCCTTCCCTTCCATGTTTCGTTGTGCCGAATTGATTACCTAAACCAGAGATGAACCAACAGTTTGTTTTCTTAATATGGAAATATGCTGTTGATCAAATTACAAATTTAACCGAATAATAACAGCAACAACAATGGTTTGATTTCACGATTTGTTTACTGTTATGCTTGTGAGTGCTTCAGAAAAATACTAAACTTGGTGTTTCATATTGACAATCGCTGCATAAAGTTAAGCCACAAAAGATTCATCAGAATGCCGATACTCATGTAATAACCGGTTATTACTCATTCCGCTGACTCAGCGAGAAAAGACAATTAAGTAGTTATAGTCACGTGTGATAGCTTAATAAGGCGAACATAAAAAACGAACCGCACTTATTGTTGGGGGCAAAGGGGGATGTATGATGAGATGTATGATAGACGTAATGGATAGATTTAAAAACGGATTATTGTAACAATGATGAAACGCCTTTCCCAATATATCATCGATAATTTTTGAAACGGTCATATTTCTGGTCTACTTTATTGTACAAACTCGATGCCCGGTAATGTAAGACCAGACCGAGGTAGAGTCCATAATAACTGCTTGTGTAAATCGGATACCATTATTGTAATTCAAAGACCGGAATTCATCTCCGAAATGAAATATCAAAGGACAGTCATTATAGTTATCTGGTTGTTGATTAACAGTGGATTAAAGTTAGAAAGTGGTGATTTATCTTTCAGTCAATGACGCAACAGATTTTGGCAGAAAAAGTAACCTCGGCCGTTTCTTGTTTTGTCGGAGTCAATCGACATTAGTGACACGCACGCGCCAAGATGCAGAACTTGAACTTCTTAATTGGGGTCGAAAGGCATTCAGCAATTATTGAAAACGTTCAGATTGCTTTGACAAGATATTAAAGCTCGGATTATGTTTATCATAAACCATATTATGCTCGAAAATTTGGCTTTTTCTCGTAAATGAAAGCATACTATGACAATAAGTCTTGTTGACGCTGTATCTATTTTAGCGAGGGAGAAGCGTGCTCATACCGTTCAAAAGGACAACGCAGTCTATAAAGATTGCAACATGCTACCATAATGACTTGACTTGGATTTATTCATCATAAAGTAACTCGGTAAGATTGTGATAAAATAATTAAATGTAGCTTTCTCGGTTTCTAGTTTTTTTCTATTCAGAAACTTTTAAAACTAATTAATTCTATATCAAAATATTGAACAGAACTCAATCTGTTATCAAAAAATTTTATTTATTATTTTACTTCAAAAAATATTCTCGATTTATTTTGTCGAGCTCTTTTCCCTGCTAATTTGTCGCCTAATATAAATCAAAAGACTTTGTTCTTATTAGCTTAGATACGTCACTAATGTCAACTTTTGTCAACAGGAAACTCCTTTGTAGGAATGTTGACACTCTTTTGGAGACAATTGTATGGGACACCAACATCAGGATTATTTTATCCATTAATAACTACAGAGTAAGTGACAGTCTTTAATTATGCAAAACCTATTAAACGTCTTCTAATTTGTTTTGAGTCAATTCTCCTTCATAAACAGACCAATAACTGCGAATCAACTAACTGAGTCCTTCACCTACCACTTACTAATTACTTGTAAGGACACATGATTAATGAGTCTCCACGACCTGCAACGAAACAGAAGCTGTTATGCTCGGTTGCCTGTTAAATGCGTCTTCCAGTATATTATAGAAATTTTGTTAATTAAATAATGAATCCCTAACTACAAATCTTCCATCGATACACGCGCAGTCAGTAATTCTGCAACAGTTTATTAAGTTTTCGAATTGAGAATGTAATATGGTCCGGTGCAAAAAGTTAGATGCTTCAGATTATTGTTCAAACAATTTTTTTAAAAAAAAAATTCCAAAATTGACTTTTCAATAATCTCTTTAAGTTGTCAGAAACATTTGATAAGTTTTATTAAAATGTGCTTGCTAAAATTCATGTTGCCTTCAAAAGAAGATTCATCATCAGTTCTCCATTAGATAAATATGCATGATTATCGTTTCCCTATTTTCTTTCGTATTGTTAAATGCTCTTTTCCATAATCCAATAGTAACATTAAAAATTGCCTTTTCTTTGAAAGCTCAAGTAATTTATTGCTAACTTTGAAAATTTTTTATGTCAACCTGTCCCTGTTACTTTACCCTTGACAACAGCCTAAGCGCGTCCAATCGATTAAAGTTTACCGTTTAAAAAGCGTAACCCATTCTCAGCAAGATATTGCCCAAAACTAATGTTGAAACAAGTATTCCGGCTTTGTTTAAATTGATAAATTTTCACGTAAAAGTGTAATAATGTTAGGGCTCGGTTGTAATCGCGGTCGTCCAAATGCTTTGCTCTGCAAATGAGTCATTTTTTACACTTACTTTATTTACAAATAACCCGCCTAACTGTACTTTCTGAAACCCTAGAATCTCAGCAACACGCTCACGTAGTGTAAACTTCTGACATTTTTCAGGGGAGAAATTTTTTCTGAAACACGTTTAGTAATATTATTTTGTTTTCAGTTAGAGCAGCACTTCCTGGCTCGTAAATAGAGGTATTTTCAAATTAATTAAGCAATGTACTATGAAAGTTAGTATTTGCTTGTCTAAGATTAAACAAAAAGTTATGATTAAAGTCGCGCATATCTATCTTTCGACCATAATAACGCGCAAACATTAATCTCGGCCTTGAATCTGGGTAGCGAAAGAAAAACAATACGATTAATAATGAAAGAACTTATCAATAGCCCTTACATGACAGCTAAGTGTGGACATCTAAATTAAGAAAACTTGTTATTACTAACAAACGCTTACTATTAGAAGATCAACGTCCCATTCAACTCGTTCCAGTCTTAAAACTAATCTTTTATCTGCCCAGATAATCTTTTCTTGAGTTTGGTCTCGCCCAATTTATTCTTTTTCTAATTTACGGTTCATAGGTGGATTAATAGTCCAAATATGAGATTGAGATAGCAGTTTTATATAATGGTTGTAAACTAACTCATAAAATGCAATTCTATATTATGGTCTGGCGCAAAAAAGTTGATACACGAAATTTGTCACCTGAAATTCGTCACATGTACAAAATTTGCTAATCGAATCATTTGAGCATACAAATCAAATAAAATGTAAGGAAAATGTCGAACTTCAAATATTTGTAACAAACTTGATTATTTATCTTTTTCATAGAAGACCTAAATAGAGAGCAAAGTTCTTTAATCAGTAACGAAAAACGAATAATTATTCGCGTTTACCAATACTTTTTAAATACTCGACAGTACCAGACGCAATGTTCAGACTTACCACTACGCAAGGAGGTTACTTCGGTCCTTGGAATTGGTGAGGCAACCCTTGCGCGAGTGGTTTCTGAACATAATAGCAGTAAAAATGAAAAATTCTCAGAACGTTCAGAGCGAAGAATGCAAGGACGTCCAAGGAAACGCCCCGATCACAATGTTGTTGATCTCATAAGTTGCTAGAACTGGTCCACATCCTAATCTTCTTGCTATTAGAGACAAATTATTGCACGCATTTAACGAAAAGGTTACGTCTAAGGTAATTCTTGGGTTTTGAAAAGATCGCCAAAGAATATGAAGGATGATATATTATTGGTCGAAAGTGATAGTGAAGATCTCGAAGTTGAAGAGATTGATGACTAGTTTGTCTGTGTACATGTTTTAATAAATTTCTACTGATACATTCCTCAAAACCCAATTTGTAAGTCAATTTATTTAAGTATATGAATGAATTTCAAAAAAAAATTTCTACTATAAGCATATTGGTGTATCAACTTTTTTGCGCCGGGCCACATTGTGCTAATGCATCAATTGGAGATTACTATAAAATTGAGTCATACAATGCAATCGAGTGCAAACTTGTACCAAACTTTATAGATAATCTCTAAACAATTCAACCTCAATAGAAGCAACTGATCAGATAGTCTATTTAGTCCACAAGTATTTTCTATGTTAGATTTAGTTGACAGACCTTTATCGTATTACCGTACGCGGTACGCCTGATGTACAGAAAAAACCGTGGTAACAAAAATTGTATTATTTATTACAGAATATAGCCTAATTTGGTTTTACTATTATCTATTTGCTTATGCATTGTTTGTTAACTGCGTCATTTGTCAGTATTTTTACGTTGATTTTGGCTTTGCTAATGATTACCTTTGACAGTCAAAAAGTGGTTTCTTGACAAAAAGATACCAAAAATCCTCAGATTGAGGGGTTTTTTCCCTGAGAAGATCAGTATGTCCGTAAGATATTTCTTTATTCAACTATTATTGTTTGTATTGTTCCGCTTGTTGGCAAAAATTACGTAAAATATCGTAGACTTTTTCAAAAACTTCATCATATTTTTTTAATTTTCAATGATACTCAATACTATCAAACCGATTTTTCGCTTGGGGATATTGATAATTCTTAACTAGTTTGATATTCTTAATTTCAATGATAATTTCTAGAGCTATTACCATTTTGCTGTAAATAATAATTGTGCTGTTTTTTGAGAAAATTTCCTCCATATTTATTATAAACAGTTTCAATTTATTGTCTATTTGGCATTTTTTTTCAACATCGTTCTTGTAAACGACATATTTCTACTGAGTAGGCCGACAAATACAAATTTCTAAATTATTTTCTTATAGAAATTGGCATAAGCCAAAAACTCTGCCGCCTGGTTTTTCAAAAACATTGATCAAATAAATTTGCTGAAGGTGAATAATCAGCGCTTAATAGAAAAGAAACCCTCAATTTCAAAAGACACACATCCGTGTAACACTGTTGTTCATGACGTCAATAAGTTCTTTCATTAGAATGGCTTGTAATAAATAGATAAACTGACTGTATCATTTACCTATAATAAACGATACAAGTTTATGATATATGATGCCACTAGCTGTTACAAACATCGTTCAACACAATCTCAAACCGTACAATCGGTATTTAAACTCAAAACCAACATACCGCTGCCCGTACGTATTCAACAAGGATAATAATGTATTTAAAAATAGAGAACGATATTTGTAATCGTACTATCAGATTACGATAAAAGATTCATTATCAGTTCAAGTGACATCTTGTGTCCAGAATGCAATATTATTGAATACAAAAATTCCCTTCTTATTTCAATGCATCGAGACAAAAAGCTTTTGTACTCAATCTTCTCTACAGAACGTATTCGCTTTACGATGCATAAGGCTTATCACACACTATACAGTATACTATATTGTTAGGAGTAGCTGTCTCAAAATCAGAGTTAGCAAATTTAATTCATTTTTACTACTTTCATAACTGCCTGACCCTAATAAAAGGCTTTAAACACGTTACAGAACAATTACGGTTAAACTCTTTTTTTTTTTTATTAGTTATCGTTGTTTCAAAATTATTGAGTATGTGATATGAAACAAAGGAAGGCTCGAATTACGAGAAAAGTGTGAAAACAGCCATTGGTTTCCTTACGCTGATCTCAGAGAGTCTGGCCGTTCTGTGCGTAATTGGTTATACAGCACCAAAAACTTTTTCTTAGGAATAAGTATGCCGTCACAGTGCGGTTAGTGCGATTGATTAAAGTATGAATACAAGTGAATACAAGTCTTTGCTGAGAACAAACAGGACAGGCTTAATGAAGAATGCATTGTATGCACAAAGTACGAAAAAAATGTATTCAGCGTTTTAGTGATGATTTGCGTTAGAGAGCGGTGTAACCTTCATTGCGATGGTCTTCATAAGAAATCTGTTCCGTATGAGAGCTGCAGGGCAGTATGCGGATTTTACGTCCATGTCGACGTTGGGATCATGGCTAAGTCTCCTTATGCGGCATCGGAAAAATAATGTTTCGTGAGGTATGTGTTAATTCTTTACTTTAATAACAAAAGTTACACGTATTTCAAGAACTACAAATAATGAGCGTTGATTGGTATTCGGATGAATTAATTGTCGAGGGACCGAGAAAGCTGTTACCTGTGACAGTCTCCGGAACGATTCCTTTTTTTGATGAGACTTATCCACTTTTAAGTATAGTATTACTTATCTCGAGCTTAATAGCAATTGGATTTTTAGTTTCAAATACCGTGAGATCAAAATTGTCTGATACTAACGTAATCGATATAGCACAGAGATTTCAATGGTTCATGTGAGATACACGCCGATACTGATACTTTGAAAGGAAATAAACCGCTTACTGGTTAGCAAGGGGCGGGACGTATTGTCGTCGATTAGGTCATTTATTTCGTGCTTTGGCAAAATCGCAGCTATAATTAGCTATTGTTACACGGGGTTTTTTTTGATTGGCCATTCTGTGTATATTCTTTCATGTGAAGTATGCTCAAAGAATGCATCAAAATCAATAATTTTGAAATGAAAAATATATTATATGCTTTTTGAATAAGCGCACAGTGAAACGCAAAACAACGGGTCTAACCATGCTTATCGCTAAATCCACACATAAACTCGCAATGACTTGAAACAACGATTGTTTCTGTGGCAAATGTAATAAGTAATTGTTCATACCGATGCGTATTAACAAAGGGTACGGTTGCAACATTTCAAGGTTTGCGATATACCAGATAATTACAATAAATTACGCTAATTTCCGTTATACAGTGTCATCGATTCAAAAGGAAATTTATTACGGATTCAGTTTGACATTAGATCTTTCGACGTAATTCCAATGCCTTTTACATGCAACGAGTCTTGTGAGGTTATGTGAATTTCTTCATTGACGATACACCAATTATTGATTACTTGTCTTTGTTGAAGGTACTTTCACAAACCCTACGATTGTACGCTAATCACCAAAACCTATTTTCGGATTTTCCTGACTTCTATCGTCTGCATCTGCTAAGCAAATTACATAATATTTGTATCGTTTTTGAACCCAATTGGCCATACTTTCTGATGGCTGACTGGCTGAAGTAGCGATACGTTGTAATATGTTGTGTAACTTATAACGATAATAGGTTGAAAATATATCATTATTTTCAAAAGAGTACATCAACTAACTGCGAATCGATATAAAATTGTTGTTCCTTACATAATATATGCGAACAATCCAGGTATTCAAAAAGTAACTTTCTATACGGTTTAGTATTAACCGGACAAATACTTTTTGGTTGAGCTCTTAAAGCCACAAAATGCACACGACGTCTTGATTTGTGAACAAAAAACTAGAGGCGTTTTCACTAACTAATTGGTTCGATCAAAATTACATAAGACTATCTCGTCACAATCGAAGATCATACGCTTGAACAAGTCTATTTTTCAGAAGCACGGAACATCATATCGACCCCCTTTGCGAAAGGGAAACTTCTCTTTTAACGTTAATCGGAGCATTGACCTTATTAATTACTAATTTTTGAATCGCATGTTCTCCGCACACACAGACATGATCGTCAAGACTCGACCAATATTCTAAACGTCTGGGTATAAGGATTGTCCGCTCATTCCGTTTCATTTTTGTCATTTTTTATTTGTGCACCACTTATAGCGCCTTGTGGAACAGAGTGGAAATGCCAGTATTAATATCTAATAATTTGATATCATTCGATTGGTCAGACTGTGCAAATGATATCGAGAAATCACTAACAAGTTTCGATAGACAGTATCAAGACAAAAGTTGAATGTATATTTTGATATTGTCTGTATTAAACTATACCGGTTACATCAACAATCAGTTCCCTTGTAGCGAGTTTCGCTGTGTATCATAATCGTCGCTCATGTGTTGCCTAGTGCGGTCTGGATTACCAGCAAAAAGTTTGCATCCATACCATACGATAAAGTCATTAGTCATAACAAATTGTCATTAAGGTTTATGGTAATATCAATAAACTATTAATATGGTAATTCCTATGCCAGAGTAACCTTATTTTAGAGTTTTTAAATTTATTGTTTCAAAAATTGGTAATATGCATTGACAGCTAAATGAGAAGTCTGATTCCGATAGGATTTACGTACAACTTTTAATATTGGAAAATCATCCGGAGTTTGTCGCCATGTGTCAATTGATTTGAGAAACCAATGGTGTTTCGCGGTCTATATGGCGTTAGATAAATGAGACAAATGGGCAAGAAATGGTATATATATGGCCTTTGGATGCGAAGCATTTACCCAAGAAAGTTTTCATTATTCATTATTCAACATGGGTGTGCTTTACAACATTCTCAGCAACATTACATTTACCGATATCTTAACTGGATTGTTATCCTTAACATGCATATATGTAATACATTTCTATTATAAACACTTTACCCGTCTTAATCCGTTTCCTGGTCCAACTCCAATTCCATTAATTGGCAGTCTCGCGATTTTCATGGAAGACATTGACGCCTGGTTTTGGAGATTAAACAAAAAATACGGACACAATGGCATATACGAATTAAATATTGCTGGCAATAGACAAATCGTAATCACTCGCGCGGAATATGTCGACACTCTCGTGGCTACCGATAGCAAGGCGCATATCATGAGAACTGCAAATAACGGTCTATTGGATTTATTCGATCTTGAGAAGAAGGGTGTAGGACTGAATCACGATTACAATTATTGGAAATTCAACCGCCATATCTTTTCCCAGGCCATCATGCCATTGAGTTTAACAGATAAACCGAGCATGATCTTGAACCAATTGTATAAAGAAATGGAACAACATTGGATCGATTTAAAGCAGCACACAGGCGAGAGGGGAGCCGTTATCGACATCTCGGTTTGGATGCGTCATTTTACAGCGGACTTTATCGCCATGTTGACGGCCGGAAAGCGAATGGCCGTCATGAAGCATTATTGTCAGAGATTAAAGAATGAACCGCTCACCGAAGAGATACTCGATACTGAAGAGTTTGTCGAATGCATAAATACCTTTGTATCAGACAATCAAGTTATATTTATACCGAAAATTTTACGAAGCTTGCCTTTCATCAAACCGCGTGTGGACAAACTATTGAAGAATTGTAACCGATTTTACGAAAAACTGGTGGATATTGTTAAAGAAAAAAGAAAAGAAGTCGAAAAGACAATCATGAATGGCGAACTTGACACGAAACGGATGGATTTGTTGACATCTTTAATCGTTGCTAATACACAATATGATTCCCATCCTCAAGAAAAAGTTGATCCATCATTGAACAGACCAATGAATGATGATGAAATTCGTGGTGTCATGTTTGATGCGTTTGTTGCTGGTACAGATACGGTGAGTTGCACAAATAATACACTGTAAAATTATGCCCTTTTTTAAAATTTAAATTGTTATTAATATTCATTATTTATTATTTATTAATTTCTTTCTAGACCGTAAATACTTTCTGTTTCGCATTATATTACATCACACATCATCCAGAAGTTAAAAAGAAATTGCTGGAAGAACTTGCAACAGTATTCAAAGATGACCCATATAAACCGATAACATTAGAAGATCTTGCAAAATTAAGATACGTTGAAGCGATTATTAAAGAAACGTCAAGGATAAGACCTACAGTTAGTATGGTCTCAAGATACAGTCAACGACCTGACGAAATAGCAGGACACCTGTGGCCGGCCAAAACGTTATTCATAATGTACGTTCGTGGAATCAACAACAATCCACTTTATTGGAAAGAACCTGAAAAGTTTATCCCGGAAAGGTTTTATGAAAATCAGGGAATACACAAAAATTCGTTTTCAATGTTTGGTGGAGGTCCGAGAATGTGTCTAGGTAGAAAAATTGCAATAATCGAATTGAAAACGTTATTAGCCGCAGTTTATAGAAGGTTTGATGTCGAGTTGTTAGATATGAACGCCCCCGTAAAAGTAGAAACTTCAACGATTACAGTTTGTAAAGAGTTAAAGATTAGAGTTGTTCCTAAAGAAAGAATTATCTAATTACTTAATAAATTAGTGGGATTGAGAATTGGCTCAATAATTTCCTAACATTCATATTTAGTCCACCGTTACATAAAAAACAACAGTGTTTTTGCAGCATTAAATATAAAAAATACGTCTAAATTGTATTTAGTAACTATTAAATAAGCATAATTTGGCTTTCTTGTGTCAGACAAAAATTTTAAATCAGGGTCTGCTCTATAATATCTTTTTCTCAGATCGTGACCAATCAAATAAAATTGCTGCCTGACTTTTTTATCAAATAAATTTTCTTACTGAAAAGCTAACGAGTGACGGCAAATTATTTAACAGATGTAGTCAGCTATAAAGTACCTTGTTAAGCCATTGTTAGTTATTTTCGCATACTTTGAACTTATGAGCTATGAACGCGAATGAAGGCTCATCGATTTATCTACCTACAACCATTAAACATTAACGATCAGTAAACGTTATATTTTATTATAAAAAACAACCTTATATTAAGCAATATTAATATTCCATTTATGCCTGAAATACGGTCACTGCAAAGATTTATAAAACAAATCAACGGTCACGTTGAAAAGACAGTATCAGATATTGAAATAATATAAATCTCCATTCAACCATATTAAGGTAGTCGAGTGACCCGGATACCGCAAACGAATAAAATTTTGCTGTCGAAATGACGCATACCCCGTTAATCCGAAAATTCCATAAAACAAACTTTTGCAATTAAAATATCTCGGTGAAACCTAATTTACTGTTATGGCGACAAAGGGATGTGCGAATCGAGATGTGGCATATTTTTAAAGCGGTTGTTCACTCCAAATGTTATGTTGGTCTGATATTTCAGTTGATCTACTCATTCTTGTGTTAAATTTTATATACAGTCTCAATGCGTATAGCAACTAGTTCTGCATTTTCACTATTCGGACATGACGATGAAAAGCTCAGAAGACGTTTCCCAACAGCTTTGATGCATCTGTCAAATGTCAAGAATGGCGTTATAACGTTAAAATCGGGTATAATTACACTGGCAACAGAACACAGTTGACTTTTTATAGTTCGACTTATTATAATACAGCTTCCTAATAATTCGAAGGTATAAATAAGCCAGTGCGTATACCTCCGATTGCGCGTTCGTTAATTCGATCATATTCATTTAAAGTTCGACGTTGACGTTAAATGTTAAAATCGTGTGTTAATTTTTTCTCAAAAATGTTTCCACTGAGAAAGGCCTCGTGTTATGTTAAATGGGGAAACATGTCAGCGAATAGTTGAAATTCTCAATTGTCTTAATAACAGTAGAATGAATTTGTCCGATTTCATTGGACTAATTTTGTAACGTGATCAGTTTACTGAGCAGTGAAGATTACAGGCCATCCGGCGTGATTATCAATCACATTATTTATCCTCACTTAAACAACCATTGGATAATAATTCATCAATAGTTAAAGCTTTTATTTGTGAACATTTTAATTAAGAATGAGTTCTTCTCAACTACACTTCTTGAAATCTTGACAGGGGAATAACCTTGCCCTTATTCCAGTGATTGTTATTTGTAACTGATGCTTCTCTACTCCTTACTATTATTACTATTACTTGCAAAATAATAATGACCCCAATTCGAGTTTTATCTCGGAAAGTAAGACTCTGGTCAGAATGAATTCCTCTACTAATAATAATAAGCTAACCTTGACACACTGTTGAAACGATAATTTGTTCTCTATACGCCGCCCAGTAAATTTTATTTTTATTATTACAGTAGTGATCTTGCTCCCGCTCACACTAACAAAATAATTGATTTTGAAAAAAAAAAAAAGACTAGTAGAACATGAATGTAGATTGCAGACTAGAATTAAGGTATGACTAATGTAGCAATAGTGTATGAGAATGCAGTAATACAATTCGGATTAAGAATACATTGATTGTGAATTAAACAAGACAAACGGTACATTTAATAGGAGACGTTAAAGCGTTCAGTGAGAGATCGCACGCATTGTACGATTTCTGACATACTGATGTCGGCACCTGGCCTGTGAGTGCATTAGAGGCTAGGTTCCTAATGAAAATAGTAGACAAATGATGATGAGCAATGGTGTTTGCATTTCACCTCGATAAATAATCGTCGAAACAACTTTTGATTTACTTACAATCTAAGTATATTCATGTTACCGATACCATCGGGTATTCCACCGCTAAGCTTATTGCCCTGAAGTAACAGATCAGTCAACTTTGTCAGTTGCGTAATTGAAGGCGGGATGGGTCCGGTCAATGAATTCGCCTGCAAGGATAAAAAAGTCAATCCAGTCATTTGTGTCAATGTGGTTGGAATTGACCCCGAAAATTGGTTCGTATTAAGATCTAACGTGGTTAGACTTGTCGGAAGAGCAGGAATTGGGCCTGAGAGCTGATTGCTACCAAGCACCCTATGGGGGGAAAAAAAAAGAAAACATCCATAAATATTAGATCAATTAAGCAAATTGAGAAAAGGAATGGCTCTTAGTTTAACGAAACACGACAAATTGTATGTGCTTACAGAGAGGTCAGAGATTTCAGCTGCAGAAGCGAAGCCGGCACAGTCCCAGTAAACTGATTAAAGCTCAAATCCCTAAAGAAAAAAAAAGTGAAAAGTAGTGTTAATTAAAAAGGAAAACGGGAAATAATGTAATAGCGTCAACAATCAAAGGACTAAATACATACAAAGTTTGCAGACTTGATTGCAAAGTCGCACTATTGCCTATGACATCAGGTATTGCACCACCGATGTTCTGGCCCGAGACTGCCCTGTAAAAAAGATATTAACATTAGAAATTCGGCCCACGATTGATCGACTACTGCAGATATCAAACAAAAGACTTACAAAGTATTCAAAGACAATGACGCAACGGAACTCGGAAATGTATTGCCTAATGAAGGATTTCGTATTAATTGCCTATAAGTAGTGAGCGGCATTTAAAATTAATTATTAGCATAGTCACAAAAATTATCAAAGAGCTGACGTGCCGATGTGAATACTTACAAAGATGTCAGGGAAGACAGCTTATCGAACGTGTTTGGCATATTGGAGAGTGCAGTCAGTTCAAGCCTGACGGTAGCCAGGTTTTTAAGATTAAACAGACTGGTTGGAAACGGGCCGCTTGGAACTTGAGAGTTGCCCGTGATCTTTCTACTCACGGGGTGAAAGAAACGAATTAGAAGATTGGTAAACAACGAGTGGTACATCGAGTAACTACGGTATGCATATAGATATCGTTAAACTTACAAGGATGACAAGTTCTCCAAGTTACCCAGATCGTCTATAAAAGTATTCGGTACATTTGGGAAACTCATTTGTAATGCCACGACCCTTCCTCCCTGATCACACGTCACGCCAACCCATTTACAAAAGTTATTATCCTTCATCCAGCCGGCCACGGTCTCTATTGAAGTCACGTTAACCGCATTAGCCCATATCCCTTTCAACACGCAAAAGTCTGTGATGTTGGGAGCCACATCTGAATCGCTGGTGCAGAAATCGCAGGGAAATTGTTGTGGTTGCAAAGTAAACGCGCTAAAGAGCGAAATGCAAACCGCTTTCTTGACTTGAACGGGAGAATCAACAGTATTGGTGGTGTCCGTAGAACTAGCTGAATTAAGGGGAGATTGCAAAGTTCTAACATCCAACGCAACCATGTTTCCGAGCAATAAAAGTATTATGATAATCAAAAGAATGATCAAGCAACAGTTTCTGCGCTTCTTTTTGATCTTTTGTTTATCTTTGATTGTCTGGTTTATCTCAATGTCTGTTCTTGTCATCGGCAGACTTTTATCCTCCCCACGCCAGAAACAAAAATAGAATGGCCAAAAAATCGGACAGCATAACCACTTCCACCTTTTCTTTTTCTTTTGTTCAATGCCCCTGTTCACATTCACCTCATTCACAACAGTCTTTACATTCTCTACATTCTCTACATTCTCTATGTTTTTTATATTAAAATTTTTAGTGTTTTCAATGTTTTTGTTAGTGTCGTTGACAAAGACTTCGGTCTTTCTCTCACTCTCCAAATTGACTTCTACGCCAACCCCTACTCCATCGCTGTTGACTGGAGAATAGAGCACAGCTTCGTCAGCAATATGTGTTCCACTCAATTTCTCAACGTTCTCAACCGCTCCTTGGTTAACCCTTTTCAGTATGGGAAACTGATCGGACACGTCTTCAAAGTTTTCCGGGTCTTGAAATAGAGAACTGTTGCTGGTAGCCCGAGTGTTGTGGAACTGCTCTTTTATAGTTCGCCTAAAGGTATTTGGGGATGCGTCCAAGAATTCCGAATCGTTGGAAAAGTCCTGAGATTCTGACTCAAACATATAATATAGAATATATTATAAATTACTACAATTATTATTTAAAAAGTCTAACTATGGGAATATAGTGAGGGGGGCTGTAATTGAGCGGGGAGGGCTAATATTAGGCGTATAGGAAAGAAAAAGATTAAGGCAGCGGTTTGAACAGACCGGCTTATTCAACCGTATGGGAGAGAAATTGACGTTTCGAGGCTACAAGGAAAAATCATGAATGGCAAAGTTTTTTTAACCAGAAAGGACCGAAGTGTGTGATTGTTATGTCTATTTTGAGATCATAAGACGGTTTGTTATATTTGCATTGTTCTTGATGCTCACACAATTGTGGCTTTAGGTTACACGATGTTAGAGTTACCTAATTTAGGCGTTCTGATAATACATTTTATGTGATAAAATAGATGCAAATGGTGATTCCAGAATGAGCCAGAACAATTGTAATAAAGTTAACCCTCTTCAAACTAACGTCAATGGGATAAGTAAACCAAGATAAGCCTTTCTTTTATGGGAACGATCGCTAATATTACTTTTTTGTTATCAGTGGGCGTTCGGGTATTATGCACTAGGACTATCACTAGTTGAAGTGTGGGAAAAGATGGTAATTGAGATCTTAATCTCATTCGCAACACATTGCATAGCACGTTATTTGGGTATGCTGCAACAAAGTGAAATGAGAGAATGTAAAAAAACATTTTTCGCAAAGCGTTATTGATAAAAATTGTTAAATCTGGTTTTTTATCGTTTTAAATGTTATTTGTTGAGGGCGCGTTTCTGCGCATTAATTATCATTGGTCACTATGCATACAATGGACCATCAACTGTTTCCTGAATCCGCAATTTAAATTCTCCTTTCTCAGCCTAATGGCTTCCGACAGCTCAAACTCTGTCGCAAACCTCCTTCGTGCTTACACAACCCAGAGCGGCCACCAAGATGACTCTGACCACGATAGTGGACAAGATGACTTGCCATTAATGGCTTCCGACATCTCAGAGTCTACCGCGGTGTCTAATAGAGATCTGCAAAAACCCAAAGTCTGCCGCGGACCTCTTTCGTGCTTAAGCAAGTTACATTGAAGTAAAACAAAAAGTAAATTTATTTAACATATTACCTGCTTTCTAGTTTTGGGGAAGATAGGATATTAGAAATGCGTCGATGTAAAACCTCGTCACCAGGGTATAGGCTCGTCTGATCAATATGTCGTAAGTCGGAACCGGTTTCGTTTTATTCCTTCCTCTAACTCAAACGAGACCTTTGGAAATGGCGCGGTAAACTACAATTTTATAGTAGATGCGTTTTCCTGCATAATTTATCACGTGATTAATATATGGTTAACGGGTCGACAATCATTTGCCCGACAAAAAAACTACCCAAAAAAGGATAACTTTGAAATAATGCCGGTAAATATTTGTCGGGCAAATCAAATGGCTGTCGGGCAAGTAAACGGTTCTCATGGTTAACTATGACAGTACTATTAATTCGAATTGTGTATTGTATGACCTCGACATGTCAACTTACTATCCCTCTACCAATCGAAGACTTTTCGTTGTTGTCAACTTGTTTTACTATTAAACACACATACATATTATATCAATATTTCTTATTTGTAGCGAAGTAAAAATACAAGCACAATTGCTCATTCTCGCGCCAAGTTACTGATAAACAAGACGTTGTGATAATGCGAATCGAGAATCGCTAAGCATTACTCATTGCATATGATATATGGGACAAATTTTTATTGACAATCTCTAATAAAATATAAATTCCCACTTTCTATGACAAAGACAAAGACTAAGAGAAAAGGAGGGGGAAAGATGAGACGAAAAGACGAAGAGATAAGAAGCGTGAGAATCCAAATCCATCTCTTGTCTTTGAGAAGATAATCCGAGGGAAACTTTTGTCGGACAAAAATAGGCCAACTGAGTGTGTCGTCAACCGAGATGGAATCCACTAATTAACTGTTATATGCGCATGATGACAAATAGTGTATAAACACAGAGCGACTATTGTGATGTGTCTTTGATTATTTATAGATACCATTGACATATTTGTATCGAAACTAATATTAAAGTGTTCATATTATTAAGTTTTTGAGCTAATCTTTGCTTCTAATATTTAAAGTGCAAAATATGTTATGTTAATTTATTTACTCGCATACTTTTATAATCGCTGTTTATTCTACAGTATAGTTTGCTATGCCATCGGAATTGAATGATATTTGCTGTATTGTGTAGACATCTATCATTTATTTTTTATCACGTTAACTTCCGAATAAAATGCATATTCGCCATTTTCCTTGAATACTAAAATACCGAGATGACCAATGCTGTCAACTTGTTGGGGAAAATCGGAAGCTTCTACGTCTGTTACCAATTTTTTCTAATGTTCCGACTTGGCATTGGCATCTGCGCAAAGTCTATTTTATCTTGTGCTTGTTATTGGTAGCAATGCGGATAGACTACTTAATTGTAGTGCATAAGTACCGAATACAAATAATATTTCATGATTAGTAGAGCAAATTATATAAGTTACCATATGCTTACGTATTTATGGTTTATTTTATGTGATATACTTTTGTGTTTATATGTGAATGATGATGTTTTTAGCTTGCACTTGAAGAATCTAAACTTTAATAAAATTCCTATTTGTAAAGCGTAGCTCTCTCTATAATGGTATATGTTGGGGTTTGTCACACATGGACTATGCGCATTCTATTGTTGCGTTACCGACTCATTATTATGTCAGCTATTGAATAGATTTCATTTATAACGGCAAATAACAATAATTGTTGAATTGAAATAAACCGTAGAAATTAAAAAGTCTAGCTAATACTAATACTAATACTAACAACGACTTTAATTTTACGAATATGTTTAGTTACTGTATATATTCGCGTGTGAACAGCCATCTATAATATTGCGATGAAGCGTAAATTCTTCTGCGGCCTATTCGATGATTTCTTTTTTATTTACAGCATTATCATTATCATCGTTAGTATTAGTATTAGTATTAGCATTAACGTTATTGGACAATAAACACCAGACATTAAACGATGGCCATGTCATAAACAAAACCCCTTGTGAGAGTTTGCCATTTTATTACATAACATTTCGCTCCCGGGTAATACTTAACGCTGCTTAGTCGTCTATAGTTCTATTATACAGTCGACGTTGCGGTTAGACATAATGTAGACGTTTTATTGTCTTTTTTGGTGGACCAACGGGGCCATTGTAGGCGTTAATTTTGCGAAACTTTATGTTATGACACCGTGCGCAAAAGACGCTGTGCATCATTTTAGTCCAATCACACAGCAGTATTATTACTTAATCTTACAAATATGTTTGACCAACTAAAATGTCCGCCCCCTGACGATTTCGTAATAATAAACATTAGCTTTACAAACTTTAAACTTTTATCTTTTGACTCGCACTATAATTATATAATCAACGTCCGTGTTTATTGTAACCAATGCGCATCGCGAATGTTTCCCTGCAATTTATATGATTATGTGATTAGAAATGCGCTTAATTTCCCAAGAGTCTGTTTCGTCTGATCCTCTCGGATAATTTAAATAAACAGCCTTGATGGTTTGACCTTTTTTTTCTACATAAACTTTTATGCTATTTAATTTTTATCTTTAAAAAAAATGATTTCTTCACAGTCTGACTATTCTTTTCTTCGTAAGTAATCACCGATCGTGGTCAACGCCAATAATATTTTTATTAAATCACGATTATTACTGTCGATTGACGAATTTTACCCTTCTCTTTTCTTGATAATCAGAGCGTGCAGTAGCTGGTTACTTCCTTCTTCCGTGGGCTGCGCTCCATATCTACTCTGTTGACAAATTTGAGGCTCTACGATGGCATCGCATTCGACACGGCGAAATCAAATCCTTGATGACAATTCTCTTCTTCATCTGTCTTTTCTTAATCACATTGTACGATTCGATTGCATCGTATCTGAAATACAAAGAAGGATTTATCCTTCTTCCCAATGGACAGGCACTAGCTAAACCAGGAATACTGTGGTCGGAAAAAGATATGCGTTTGTCAAACATGGATACTTACCTACTGATGACATATTTTGCAATTGAAAACGCGGGACTGTTTTTGTTGCAAAATTTCTGGAATTATTTGACTGGAACAATTGTTCAAAAAAATTTCATCGCAAGCACCCATTTTAAAGTCAATTACGGTTTTGCGTTGGTTGCCATCGTAATTTTTCCCTTGATTCCATTTGTTTTCCAATATAATGAATTGTTAGCTCTTGTAAGTAAGAACATTGTGAAACTGGTTTTTTTATCACCAAGGAATCTAATATTTGATTGCGTAATCTTTTAGGTACTGCCAAGGCTATTTGCAGTAACATGTAACATTCCCATAATTCTTTATGGAATCAGAGCACACTTCAAATTCAGTCAATTTATCAATGAAAGCAAAGGGGTGCTTGATGGTCAACTAATAACAAGCAAGCTTGTGTATTATAGGGATATGAATACGCGCTTTATGACTTGTATTGCACTTGGTACAATCTCATTCTTCATTCTCTCTGTCGATGGATTAACGCCTGAAAAGACGCTCAACAGCAATAAATTTATATCCGATTTATTTGCCAATATCGCAAATTTGGCTCATACACTCGACTGGATTATTCTCAGTAAGTAGCAATACATCACATGTATAAACGCTAATGTAAATACTGGTGACTAACATGGTTTTCCCACGTTCAGTTCTGGTCTTTTATCCCAGCAAACATTTCAACTTAATTCCTGCGTCTACGACTACAATTAGAGTGGTGATAGATGGGGACAATAACACGTCTGCAACTACACTCCCAGTACTGAACAAAGTAATAGACGATAAATACAGCTTGGCAGAGATAAGCAATGAGAAAGAAATTAAAACTGACGCACATCTTAGTAATTATTCAAGCTTTAGTCTGTAGAAGAGGAAGTAACCTAAAATTTATACAGCTTTCATAATTGTTTTTTTTTTTTTAAATTAATTTCGTCCATTTTCATACTGTAATTATTACAGCAGGGTTATACAAATGACGATTGTTTAGTATATATAACGTAATTAAAACGAATGCTAATGCTTGTGCGAAACTTGTATGAAGAAATCTCTAGACGGGATTAGTTCCATGCAATATCAGCACGCTAAAAATGTATATTCAATACATTCATCATTGTTAGCATCTATGACAATGCCAAATTTATTTTGTTAAATAAAATTGCGTTGTTAATTGTAGAAATTCGCGACTTTTGAAAGCATACTCCTCTCGTGATTTTGGTGTCATGGAAATTTACAGAGACAAACTCCCCACCTGAACGTATAATTAGACGAGACGGTAGTGAAACACTTTAGAAGAAATTGAGGATTTTCCTCACACGGAACCACACAGATCAGAGCATGTGCTACTAATAATTGCAATAACCCAAGATATTTAATATTTAAAAATACAAGAAAAGCTATAGTAATAGTCATGTTTAATCAGTCAGTTTCGGGCGCCTTTAAGATTCGCATAGTATTTGTATTTCCGAGACCTTTACGAATAGAAACACGTTAGACGTATTGATGATCAAACATCGGAGGGAAACATGTCAGAAAGTTTACTGACCTCCTTTCCATCCCTGGATAGCAATTACGGTATCTCCCGCATGAAGAACTCTACAGTGGACAAAAAATGATACGCGTTCAGCAGAAATCAACATACGCAATTAAGGTACGCTAGAACAAGTAGTTTCTAATTTTCTGCGCGGTTAACTTTCCAAACCAACGCACGACAGCTTCAACATACCCAAGTTGCACGGCTTGTGACATTCCCCACATTATTCGACTTTCGACATCTTCTTGCCAGTCATCTTTACGAGGCTGATCATAAATAAATGGATAACATCCTCTACATAAATGGATTTGTCTGGCCGTCTGTTCATTTCTCGTCACCGTAATAATTGGACATTTTGGCTTGTATTTAGAAATAAACCGAGCGGTAGTGCCAGAAGTCGACAACACAAGAATGCATCCAGCCTGCTGCTCGTGAGCTGCAGATACAGCAGACGAAGCTACTGTTTCTGGTATTTGTGTTGGCGTGACGGTTAGAGCTCGCAGTTGATTGAACAGTGTTGGATAAAAGATCACTGATTCAGCCCTCACGCATGTCTCGTGCATCATCTCCACTAAAAGAAAAAATGGATAAGCTTATATATATGAAACGATATAAAAATTGACGTGTATGACATGAAAACATACCAGCTTTGATAGGATAGGTCCCTTTGGCCGTTTCACCAGATAACATAACACAGTCTGCACCATCGAGAACCGCGTTTGCAACATCGCTTACTTCTGCGCGCGTCGGTCGAGGATTATACTGTTTCCGTCAAAATGTATCAAAAAGTCGTCGGATAAAATAACGAAAGAATATAACAATATGAGAAACCAAAAACTTACCGTCATAGACTCTAACATCTGTGTGGCGCTGGGGAAGCAGACCGAAAAACTCGAGTAAGTTCAAACGTTCCATACATGGAAAATTCATGGCCCATAAAAACAATAATGGGTTTCATACCATATAACAGGCTTCCCGGCAAGGTTGCATTTAGCAATCATCATCTTTTGAGCAACAAACACCTGCGATGCTGGAATCTCAATCCCCAAATCACCTCTTGCAACCATGATTCCATCAGCCTCTTGCAAAATCTCATCGAAATTGTTAACGCCTTGATAATTCTCTATCTTAGCAATAACCTTGATAGATTTTCCCTCTTCTCCAAGAACAGCTCTGACTGCCTTGACATCATTGGCGCTACGTATGAACGACGCGAATATCATATCCACGTTATTCTCAACTCCAAATTTCAAGTCTCCTTTATCTTTCTCAGATATCGCAGGAAGATCAACGTCTGTTTGTGGTAGGTTAACCCCTTTCTTACTGCTTAGAGTGCCAGAATTTAACGCTTGTACTTTCAAATGGTCATCATGGACTTCGAGCACTTTAAAAGATAGGATACCATCGTCGACGTAAATTACTTTCCCAACTTCGATAACTTTGGAAAGATTCTTGTAGTCGACGTAAAGCATGTCGAGGTCACAACAATTGGCATATTTGTCATCGACGGTAATGTTCATTATGTGACCCGCCTCTATCGGAAGCTAGAAATTGACCATTTCTTAAAACGAGTTTGTTGCAAAATGGAAAACGAAAAAACCAACGAGCAATCTCTTACCTCGACATTGTCTTTCATAATACCCGTTCGTATTTCTGGACCTTTCTACATGGTGTCAACGTGTATATGATACAACAATTGTTGATCAACAAAAGATACGTGGTTTAGCGTTTACATAAACACACAAACACACAGAGTATTTGCATTGTAGATTACCGTATCGAGAGCGATAGCAACTGGTCGTCCGTGATGCACTTTGGAGGTAAAAAAAAAAAGGCGGCGTCAAAGATAGAAACACGATACCAGAAGCTTTTAGACTCAACGAAAAGTGCGAGACTTACAGGCATAACTCTTTCGGACATTATCGATTACCGATTTATGATACTATAAAGGTTTCGAATTTGTTAATTATTACGGCTCATTTTCTCTTGATTAAAATACGCGGTCACTTACCTCATGAGATCCATGCGAGAAATTTAGTCTGACAATATTCATTCCCGCGCTCCGTAATTTTACTAATTTTTCCACAGTATTGGTCGCAGGACCTTGAAAAGCATGGTTTAACGCGAAACATTAGTATTCAGCGACCATTGCCTATATATGAGTACACAAATGGGGAGTTATATGCACATACCAATAGTGCAAATGATGGATGTCTTGCGAATATTTTGCGTGGGGAAATCGAGTGTCAATGATGTGATCCATCCAAGACTTGTTTCGTTGGCCATGGCGTTGAACATTTCTTATAGATTTAGGCGGAAAGTTACAACGACTGCAATTCAAAAGACGTCTCTTTTATATCACAGTCTTTCATAGATTTTACATCATCAGCCCGATAAGATAGATCAGAGCGCGCTAGCTTCAAAAAGTATGCGGTTTGTTATTCATCTGACTGATGGGTAACCAATAAAATTTGCATGCACACGCCCATACAATCTTTTTAACACTCGGAACACACCTATCTAGCAGTCATACGAACATGATTTTCATTCCCAAAACAAGTGGGATTGCCCACCCTGATTAAATATTCTCTTTGTTAGATCCTCTTTAAGGCACATGTTTAGATCGTCCGATTTGAACAATTCTCTTTATGCTCTTTATTATCCTGCCAAACTTTGATCTGTCCATGTCATCAATGTAAATGATGAAGAACTTTGGCAAAGGGAATTATCGGCTATCGAAATTGAATCAGTGCCTCTCCAATAGGAACTGGACCATCGTTTTTGCTGCTGCGCGATCGAAGATCAACCGTACATCTATAGATTATATCGATAACGTCCAAGAATCTTTTTGATAATAACATTTTGGTAACCATTCCCATAAATAACCGTGTATGCGCGGTTTACCGAACTAAAAATCGCCGTGCGGTGCAGAGTGGACGTTATAAAATCCGCAGAATCTGCGCTCACTACATCCATTGTGGCCAAATTCTCACAATATTATAATGACACGTTATTATTATAAACAATGATTCGAAATTAGTTGATTAGCACGAAGCGGGAACTATATATCATACTACACGGGTTCAACAGTCACTGTAAACAGACACCAGTTCATCCAAGGCAAGCAAGGGGAAAAACAAAGGATTTAGTTTGGAAAGTAGTGGTACGCTGTCTATAATCCCTACAACTTATGAATTCCGATAAAAACAATCTTTAATGTCAACATTGTTTCTCAGTAGGTATTTTACAAACTCTACCTTCCAATTAGTTCGTAATACAACGGAGTATGCGATTCTCTGCTTGATAATGTTCTTTGAAAGAAACCATTATTCATAAATGCGACAACGATTCGATCTCGTTAATCGCTTGATAGGAACACATTACTACTTCAGATCAAAAAACCAGAGACTGTCAATACATATTAATATTTGATGAGGAATACAATGGGACAAGAATTCGGAAATCGGTTTAGATAGTTGCTCAGCTACATGATCACGTATATACAGTATATTCTCATCGTCATAGGTGACTTTGACCAAATTTGGTATCGAGCCGGGTAATACTCGAAGTCATGACAGAAATAGTGAGCCATTGTTAGTAATAAATATGCGAATATTACTTCCATCTCGCGTCAAATAATTAAGATCTCAATCGAGAAATTACGGCTTATAATTTTCATAACGTCGAGAATGTTCCCGGCTGTTTAAAAACTATTATTAGTATTAGTCGTACGTGTGTGCACTTTCAGGTTTCGCTCGTTGATCGTAACCAAATACGCTTTCTAGTATTCAAATATTAACAGAGATCCCTGGCCTGAGTCGTGATAGATAGAAGAAAAGAAATTGTGCATGATAACGCTTTGACACACCAAGTAAACGCGACGTCTTTCTCGCAATTTAGAAATTCTATTTGTCGGCTCTATAGCGTTACTATTACGGATAATAATAATCAATTTCCAAATTCAGATTGTAATTGTATTTGCTAGTTATAATGCGCATCGCTCAAGTCTTTCAGCACGACTTTACCCGCAATGTCTAACGTCAAACAGTTGTTTTATGGGACAATAATACACTCCTTGTCTCTAGACAAGCTGCATATCATAAAGAATGGATTATTAAGCGTAGACGGTGACGGCAAGATTGTTTCATTGCAAGAGAACGTGGAAGCAGAGGAATTGGATAGTATTTTGGAAGGCCTGGCTGAAGATTCGGTAGAGATCTTTAAAGCCCACTTGAAAATTTATTGCTCTGACAGTTACTGGTCGTTGACCTTGTTAAAACTTTCAGAAACTCATACGATTATCCGAATGGCAATTCATAATGCCTGGTTTTATAGACACGCACACGGTCAGTCTGGTTTCCCCTTTTTCAAGTCAAAGTCTTTCGTTTAACCAATTATATATTTCCACACAGCACGCTCCTCAGTATGCCAACGCAGGCACAGGAATGGATCTCCCACTACTGGAGTGGCTTGAAAAGTATACATTTCCGTTAGAACATTCGTTCTCATCAACCGAATTCGCGGCAAAAATCTATCCTCGCTTCGTCTCCCATCTGCTTCGCAACGGTACGACGACCGCCGTATACTATGCAACGATTCATCTGGAATCTTCAAAGTATCTAGCAGAAACGGTAAAAGGTAGTGGTCAGCGAGGTTTCATTGGCAAAGTGAACATGGATAGAAACTCTCCTGAATACTACGTAGAGAATAGTAACGATAGTGTACTGCATACAGAAGAGTTTGTGAAATATGTGCTTGATCTTGATGCGGGCGAAAATCTAGTACAGCCTATAGTGACTCCGAGGTTTGCCATTACTTGTACGGAAAAGCTTATGACTGCTCTCGCTGACATTGCAGCAAAGTATGATGTCCCTATACAGTCTCATTTATCGGAAAACACTGCGGAAATCGCGTTTGTCTCCGAACTGTTTCCAGACATAAAGGATTATACATCGGTATACGATCATCATAAATTACTCAATCATAAAACGATCATGGCTCATGGAGTGCACCTGACGGATGATGAAAGAGATCTGCTCAAGCAACGCAATGTTGGTATATCTCATTGCCCTAATTCGAACTTGGCTCTTCGATCCGGTGTGTGCAAAGTTCGCCAATTATTGCAAGATGGTATCAAAGTCGGGCTCGGGACTGATATAAGTGGTGGAGGAAGCAAGAGTATCTTGGATGCTATGCGTAGAGCGAGTGCAACCAGCAGAGTTGTTGCTATGACAGATGGGAATGGGGAACATCTTAAATTATCCGAGTTGGTTTTCTTGGCCACAATGGGTGGAGCAGAGTTGGTTAATTTGCAAGACACTGTTGGGAACTTTAAAGTTGGAAAGGATTTTGATGCACTTTTGATCGATCCTTGTGCAGAAGGATCTCCTATCGACGTTTTCGACATGGACGATACTGAGCGTGTATTTGAAAAGTTTATATTTTTAGGTGATGACAGAAATATTATAGACGTCTTTGTTAAGGGACGTAGAGTTTCTGGTATATAGTTATATAAAATGTATGAATATAATTTACACTAATAAAACACTATCATTATTGGGTATCAGGCATTGAAAAGTCTCTTTTCCTTAGTATTGGCAGTGGATATTCATTGATCATGGATACATGATGAGGCAGCCTGATTAAAAGTCCAAGACGAGGACGAGAGAAGTATTGGTTATCGAGCAAATGCGTTGTTGAGCCAATATCTTAGTAATTTCATAGCAGGGGCCAATTGCAAAATGTTTCGTTCACGAATTGTGGCGCAGACTCTATCACTTCTCCTGTAAGAATATTTTTCCTATGCCTTCCACATTCAACATCGCCATTTTAGGTGGTGGTATATCGGGTCTCTCTACGGCTTGGTATCTCTCACAAAGTTTGCCAAAGTCATGTAAAATAACAATAATAGAAGCATCAAACAGACTTGGTGGGTGGATACAGTCGAGACGACATGGAGAGCAGGGAATACTCTTTGAGTATGGTCCACGAACAATAAGACCTGGTGGGCTGGGCGGGCTAGCCGTATTGGAGTTGGTGAGGAAGCTAATGTAGTAGAGAATAAGAGGAGGTTAGGATAATATTGTAGAGTGAGAAACGTGCAATGCATTTACGTGCTTGTAAATTATTTTCAAGTAACTTCTTTTTTTCTAACGCGTATCATTTATCACTTTGATAGATAAAATGTCTTAATCTCACACCTTCTCTCATAACCATACCAAAAACTCATCCTGCTGCTCTTAATCGTTACATTTACTATCCCGACCGTCTCAACAAGTTACCTCATTCTCTTCTTTCTCTCGCTCCGTCTTTATCTCGTGCTTTCATCCGCAAGGCAATTCCAGGCATCCTTCGTGAACCCTTTGTCAAACCTGCCAACACTGATGACGAATCTATCGGCGCGTTTATGGCCCGTCGGTTTAACTCTCACATTGCCGATAATATACTGAGTGCTGTGATACATGGAATATATGCTGGAGACGCTAACCAGTTATCCGTCCGTTCTGTCCTTCCTTCTTTGTATTATTATGAACGTTACTATGGATCAGTGTTAAAAGGACTAATGAGAGGGTTGAAAGAAGTGGGAGATAAGAGGGAATTGGAGAGGGAACTTGGAGAATGTGTAGGAGATTTAATGAATGATATGAGTAAAATCAGCATATTTTCATTTAAGGATGGAATTCAGATGATGGTCGATGCGCTGGAAAGGGAACTGAAAATGAAAGAGAATGTAACTATTAAAACTGGTGAGAAGGTTGTCAAACTTGAAATTGAGAATGAGAAAGCCAAGGTTAGTTTCATTGATAATTGCCATCATATTGATAATATCTATTCCATCATTATGTCTTCTCATCCAATCCTTGTGAATGATTCTCCCTTTCCCTCGTTTTACATCAGGTCCATACAGAGTCATCCGTCTTCTCATCATTGCACATTATAAGCACATTACCATCTGATATACTCTCACATATTCTCACACCCACCCTTCCTCATCTGTGTCAAACACGCTCAGCTACTGTGGCAGTTGTTAATCTAGCGTATTCGGATCCATCTCTTCTTCCGGTTACTGGATTTGGTTATTTAATCCCGGCATCAACACCAAATAACATTTATAGCGCTCTCGGGGTCGTGTTCGATTCTGATGCACTTCCATCTCAGGACAAAGTAAATATAACCAAGCTGACAGTGATGCTGGGAGGACATTATTATTCCGGAATGAATTCGATTCCAAATGAAGATGAATTGCTGTCTCATGCGCGATGGGTTGTATCGAACCATTTGGGAATAGGAGAAGAACCGATGCTGTGGAATGTTTCTATTCAGAGGGCATGTATCCCACAGTATCGAGTGGGGCATCTTGACAGAATGCGGGAATTACACCATTCTATTAGGAATACGTGCGGGGGAAGGCTGAGTGTAGCGGGAGCCAGTTATCTGGGCGTTAGTGTTAATGACATTGTGTTGAATTCGCGAAGGTTAGCCGGAAGAGTCGTTGAGTGGATAGAGAGGAGGAAATCAAATGTTACTGGGTTAGAAGGTGTGGAAGAAATCCCGGCGCCAGTGTGAAATGACTATCGGATAGCTTCTCGGTTTGATTTTCGTAAAGCGGTCAGAAAAGCAAACGATATGTCGCCGTACTTGTGGAATATCGTGTCTTTGAATTATGAGCGACAATAGATATTTGCAGATGCTCCATTCCGAGAAAGGAACGCGTCTACATTCCGTGGAAATATGTGAGCATCGGCGAGTATACCGTATTTTTAGTTTCTTGTCTTGCGTCGAACCCACAAAATCAATTTATCAATGTCATCTCGGTTCACACGTCAATTCATAACAGCATTGCATTAAATATAGTTTGTGGCTTATGATGCAGTTGTATTAATATTCATTCATTTTACTCTCTAATTACAAACAACAGATCTAAAATAAATGTTACAATATCAAACAATTATATCGTATATAGAATTACTACAATTAATTAATGTGTTGTATCTTCAATAGTAATCTCAGGCTTTGTTGTTTTTGCCTTTGTCCAGCGTTGCTGCTTTTCTTTTGCTTTAATCTGTTTGACAATGTCCAAGTCATCAGGATAGAACCACTGCTTAATAAACGTTATCAAATATCTAGGCAGCCCCGCTGCCAAGATTCCAAATAACATTCCAAACCAGAATGTTCCTTGACTAAATATCTGCGTTCCAATGCCGTAAAGCGTGAGAGACGGAAATGCGCCATACGCTAGAACAAACGCCAACAGGATAACAATCTCTCCAAATACAGTGACCCAGATGAATACGTTCCAATGGTATGTGTTGAATCCAACAAAAAGATTAGCAATTATGATCACTGTCACTGCCACAGCTGTCGAGAATTCATCAGTACCGGTCGAGTAAGCTGATGATGAGACTACCCCTTGCGTATTGTAATGGATGAAATGGAAGGTGTAATATACAACTAGAGATTGCCAGATCCCATCAAGAAAATATAGTGCAAAACGGAAGCGGTTGTAACGGAGTTGCTTTATGCCTATGCTATAGATACCAGGATAGCGGAGGCAATATGAAGCCGTCACGGACTGATCCGTAGTACCTGGAAAAGTGAAAGACGATGAGGTGATGTTTGTCATTGAGAAAAGGAGACGGAATAAAATTCTGATATCAAAGGTTGAATGAAAAAATTACCTAATACAATAACAGGCCCTACTGTGAAAATCATGTTGTAAAGTTGGACAAGACTGTAATCATAGAATATATTTCCAGAGAATCTAGAGAAAAAAAATGTACAGTCAGTATCAATTATGGTTGTCAAACAAAAATGCCCAACATTTTGCCTGTTTCCAATCACTTACAAGCAATATATCTGATACCATAACACTGGGAATACCCAAATAACGTTTTTATAAAAGAAATTTAATATCATTTCGGAAATACGCATATAATCCCAGTGTCCATGTACTATAAGTAATTTCTGGAGATATCGGAACTGTGCAATCGCATAGTCGGCTGCCATTGCGGCCTGTACACCTATAATTATTTCAAAGACGGAATACCTTGTTCATTAGTTTCATCATAATTGATAAATTGACATCTGTTCCGCCTTGTGCTCACCTTCTTGACCCGAAATGCCAACACCGACGTTTGCTGCTTGAATCATGCTAACGTCATTGGCACCGTCACCAATAGCCAGGGTAACAGTCCTCTTACCCTTCCTGACTAATTCTACAACCAATGCCTTTTGTAAGGGGCTCACTCGACAACATATTACAGATGCAAACACTTCGGCAACTTGTAACAACTTTGTCCGCGAAAGCTTATCCTCCAATAAATGTGCTAGAGCACCACCATCAACCACAAATGCATGTTGTCGTGCACTTGAAGATTCTCCTTTATCTGCCTCCCGTATTGATCCATCGATATCGATGAATTTATCAACAATTTCATTAAACCTTGAAATAACGTCTTTCTTGTTTGCAGTTCTCAATGTCCATAGCTTCATATCTTTTGTAAGTAGTTGCGCTGCAAAACCAATATTAATAGCCGTTTCCAATTTGTCACCAGTAAGTACCCACACTTTCATTCCAGCCTCACGAAGGGTAGCTATACATTCAGGGACGCCCTCTTGGAGTTTATCTTCGATGGCAGTAGCACCAAGCAATATGAGCTCGCGTTCGATTTCATCGGCAGTAGCATCGATTTTAGCGTTGCGGTCTTCAATAGACGTTGAAGCCTCGCGATATTTTGCAGCCCACTCGGCATAGTATGCTGGTTCAAGCGTACGGTACGCTAGGGTCAAGGTCCGAAGACCTAAGTTAAAGAAAGAAAAGGGGACGGAGCGATGAGGCAAAGTTAAAACAAAAGGCCCGTCGTATAGAGTTCACCTACCCGCATTAGAAAAATCATCAATATCCTTCGTAGTCGCCGCGATAAGATCATCTTGTCCGGCAGCCAGACGTTCCATTATGACGTTATCTGCTCCTTTACAAAACAATGCAACATCACCTCCCAACTCTTTTGGTCTTCGTACAATGATACTCATTCGTTTCCTTGTCGAATTAAATTCCAAAACGTTCAAAACCTCAAAATCATATTCCGTTCCGAGTATGTCCACTCTCAAATAATTATTGTTTCGTCTCAAAAAAGCAAAACCTACATTCTTCGCCGCAGAAACTAGCGCAGCTTCGTCAGGAGACTCGGCTTGATAGACTAATTGAACAGCAACAGTGCCATCTATTGGTGGACCTTTATTGACCGAAGGAGAAGGCCCAACCAAAGAATTTAAACCGCCGAGGGATGGTACGATGGAACCCAAGCGTTTTGTGTTCAAATGTTTTTTGATACTGACTTTTGCAAATCGAAGAGATAATTTGTTAGGAATGTCATCTGTGCTGCTACCATTCTGAGTAATGTCAATAGTCGATGAATTAGTGTCGGATGATATTAACGCTTCGGATTCTGCCTTGTTATCATCACTCTCATCTTTTCCTGTTTCTAAACTTTTCTCTAGTACTACAGTGTGACACACTGCTAAGAGCGTAAAAAATTCTTTTATATTTTCGGCGTTTCCTCTACTACTGTCGGTTTCTGTTACTTTTTCGCTACTACTACCGCCATCCTCCAAGCCATCATCCTTGTTCTTTACGTGCTGCAGCCCTCTAAAGAGCTCTGGATCGACAAAAGTCAAGAAGCTTGGATCCGTACTTGCGTATTTGGGTTCAAAGGTCTTTCTCATTTCGGTGAGATATGACCGCCATATGTCTTCTGGGTCTTGCTTTGTGACATCCGTTTCTTGCCCTTGCATTGCTTCTTTCCCTTTCTCGGCATCAGTTTTACCGGCCCATCCATTACGCCCGTAGACTTTACCATTAATTGAACATTCACGAAATTGCATTACGTTACGAGTAAGTGTTCCGGTTTTGTCAGAGAAGACATATTCTATCTGGCCAAGATCGTCGGATAGATTCCACTGGAAAGAAGAAATTTATCATTAGCGGTTGGCTGAAAAAATATTGGTGGAAAAAGCAAAATACTTACAGATTTGGGAACACAGGAAGTTTGTGTGTCTTCGTCCCACATGTCGAGGTCATTATAAATGAAATATGCCTGATTGGATCATTGGTAGGTTATATCATCGCATCCGGAATGACCCATTGTTTGAAGTGATATTATAATCCAACTTACTTGAAACGTCTTTACAAATTCGATAGAAATATATAGTGATATGGGAATAATATTTTGGAAGATAATCAGACTTGCCCTGTTAATTGTACAAAAACATTTAGTGAATTTTCTTTTATTTTAGTCTTGGGGACTGTTATATGCAAGATGGCACATACTTACCAAAAGGTTAGAAAAGCCGCAAACGCAATGCTATCCCGATTAGAATCTAACAGCTTTGTGGCTATTCCGTTCGTTTTACTTGACAAATTTGCAGAAGATATTGCACTTCCAATAGCGCAGATCAAAGCGAGGGCAATGAGAACAAAAAAGTTGAATATAACCTGTAAGGCAATGAAATTTAAAACGTTTAGGAACATATGACGTATGACGCATTGAGAACTGAGGTATGACAAGCACGAGACATATACCTCTTTGTTCATTTCCTTTTCGATCCGACTTCTCTTGCTAGGAGTCTCTCCACTGTTTAGCATAATTTTAGTTTCAACACCAGTATACACAACCATCGCAATCACCCATTCGGTATTTCTTATAACGTGCGCGCGTAACAATAAGTTGTTAATATTGACTGGCACAGACTTTTGTGCTTGCATTGAAAAATTACTGTTTCTTGAACTCCGACGATTCGTGCTAACTGATTGAACAGACTGTATCGAATCCCTATTCCTTGTCGCTACCGCCGGCGGTTGTTGTATATCTGGGTCGGCCGGGTCAACTAATGCTACGGCAGCAGAGAAGGAGTAGAGATTCGAGTTGGGCGCCTCCGCATCAATATAAAATTTTGTTTCGACACAGTCTTTTGCAGACCCAATGTTGTTAGTGTCAGGGATAGCCTTCCTAGGTTTTAAATTAGTTTCGCCGTCGAGATCCTTGGTTTCTACAAAGCATCCGCCTTCTGATTCAGAGGTGGAAAGTATTATAGCATCTGCAGGTACTGCATCGCCATTACGAAGAAATATAAAATCACCGACCCTGACATTGCGCCAATATGTTTTTTTCCATTCTGGATCACCATTAACCTTGTTTGACGGTTCTTCGTCAATACTCTCTTGACGTTCCTCAACCTTACTTTGGTCTTGAACATCACGTGAAGATTTTTGATCCTTTGGTTTTATTTTGACTAGCTCTGTGAAAAAGTCCACAATACTCGAGATGATTCGATCAAAGAGAGAAACACGTTTCTCCATAGGATAGTTGACGTTAACAAAGTTTTGTAGATAGTAGCAGGTTGAACTGTTGAACTGTTTATCAATTTTGTGGCGATTATAGTCCTCGACTGCATCCTTGCATGCTGTAATAAATACGACTGTTGATAAGGGAAGTACTGTTAAAACTGGATTATTAACACTAAAAAAGGGAAGCAGTCCCAGAATGGCCATAAATAAAAAATACATATTGGCCGCCCGTCTGAACTGTTCAAACAAGTTCTTTGGTACAAATGTTAATGTCGTGTATTTCGACGTAACAATTCTGTTTGATACATATTTGACTTTTGGATCATTTCGACGGTCAAGGTGAGTACTTGGTAAAGGTAGATTAACAAACACTCTCCGTTCTCGTTTCGAAGTTTTTCTGTTTTTGACTTTTGATGCAAACTCCTTGGGTCTGTTCACACTAGTAGACCGCCTCAAGTTATCATTAGTTGATATTGCTGCATGCCTCGGGTCGCCGACTCCCCTCGCGGCTTGACTCATTCAGAATAATTATAGTGTGGTCTAATGTGAGTAGTTCTATAGAGTTTATTGTAACGGGAATTAGAACAGTGATCTCGTAATTGTTACACCATACTCTGGGCACACTTGACATTGGTAATAGTTAACGGTTTATATATGAATATTTAAATGATCGACAGTCTGCGCAGAGTATTCTTTCTACTTGCTACCGGACAAATAAAAAAGCCGGTTTTGAGTATTCTACTTGTGCACAATTGTGAGATATCCCGCAGCAAATTGTGGGCAATATACAAGTTTATTCTTCATTGTCATTTAAGAAGAAAGTTTTGAAAGTTTTGTCCTTCATTTTTGGGTAGACAATCAATATCAATGGATAGACTACATGTGACCAGCCAATCATCCGGATCTTATTACTAATAATACAGACAACAATAATACAGACAACGACAACAATAATAGTGACAAAAACTGGAAAAGCCAGAACCGTAGTTGCATTGATATTGGAAGAATGAACTTGTGGGAATGTAGCCAGCATTGATTCTTAGCCGCGGTAATATGTTTTCCCATCATTATTGTGGACAATGCGATTATGTCGTCAATGCATTATCCGCACGATAAAAAGGTTTATTAAAAGCGTGGGATAGAAGTTTGCATCATTAATCAGACGAGTAGTAGAATATAAAAGAAGTGTACCAATAAATAAATATTTTCAATATTGTTAAACATGTTTTTGAAATAAACTTGTCACGTTCAAAAACCAATCATGCTGTGCAACAGACATGGTATTGAGCTTTAATGGGATTAATTAATAATACTATAAACATTGACTAATTATGTAGCTGTTCGCTAAGATAATTTCCTTTAAAGTGTTATTAAAGTCGTCATAACAGAAAATGTGAAATTTCATGTGATCGTTCATAATAATAAGAGGTGATAGCTAAACGGTTTATCGACGCGTGGTTCATTTACTTTTGATTTTTACACCATTATCTTTAATTAGATGCCAGAATTAAAAGGTATGATTTTGTTTCCGGTTTACACAATATTATCATTCCTCCATTTAGGATGGAACTATTACAGTAATTTTAAAGAAATTCGAAATACCTTTTTTACCCGAGTCATGGGATAGTCGTTACGCTGTCATGACCCCTGCTTCATATGTGGTGTAAACTGCTAGACATACAGCCGCAGTTTAATACATTCACCACTTGCGATAGAGCTCCTCCACTTGAGCAAATCGATAATTCAGATAAACAAATAATAGAACATTACGCATTTTACGCAACCACAATCATTACTATTACTTGAGAAAAACGCAAGAGCCGTAGTCATACCCTGATGATTTTCGTAAAACAATCATATTGCCCTTTTTGAGGAACGTACTCGCTCATGGTATCACATAACCAAATTTGTCGAACGTGCACATGACCGCTAATAGATAAAAACCGAAGCAATCAAATATAATTAGTACAATAAATATTAGTTTTTATAATTAGCGATTAGAATATGGCTTTTGCTATGCTAGAGTTGTAAAAATAATATGATATGACTCATAATAACAATAATATTTAATGCCAGTCCCCCATTGTTACAGAAGTTAAATACATTCCTCAAATTAGTTCCATTGTACGGATTTACGTAAAAATAGGTCATTGTACAAGTGCATCCGATTTATATGGAATGTAAGAAGGGTTCGGAGATTATCGTTATTCCGCATTTACTGGTCGTATAATGATTTGCATAAATTGAGACACACAATGACAAAACAAACCCGTTTCAGTTGTTACACATGATCCTCCGTGTGTATGTGTAACTAGATTCTTTTTTTAGAATCCCGTCAGAATGCTATTAACAATCAGTGAGCGGTTAAGACTAAAAATATAACATCCAGAGCAAAGCCAAAGCAGTGACCGGCTTTCTTCTTTATTTAAATTCTAATTTGTATTATTCGAAACAAAAGACGCAAGTGGCTGTTATTTGGTCCTACTATTATATGTGACGGTTGCTGCTTAGACGATAAGAAATTAATTACACGCATGCTTTTCGAGAAATTGCTCATCTAAACTATCATACAACATTACTATGAATTGAAGACGAGGAAAATTTTTTAACATATCTTTAATTTTTTTGTATACATCGTCAAAAGTACGCTTGCTTTGGACGAAAACTCTATGTCTCCCGACATCTTTATGAAGCTTAATTATATTATTGTGTTGACGTAACATAAATGCTTTCGAATACAATTACTCTATCGTGTGTATTCGAAGTAACTTAATTACCTCTCTGTCAGTCGTAATGGCAAATTAGTTGATATATCGGACGTCATGTTGGTTTTTTTCTCGTTCAAATAAATTGTTATAATTCTTTTCGTGTTAAAACCTCTGCCTTGAAAAAATAACTCTGATTTATTTTTTGATAGTGATTGGAGTGAGATTCTCTATAACAGAAAGCTTTTGGATGCTCTTAAAACAAAAACCGTAATATTAACCCTTGTGCTGGGTATTTCGCTTTGTGGCACGCACTTGTTATTCGATATTCTGTCCGCATCCCATATGCTCTACTATGTCATATTTGAATTAATGTTTACATAGCCAGTCTCGACAAGTCAGCCACGTGATGAGTCGCAGCCATATTCACGTGGATCACAGCTTAATCAGCTTAGAATAGTAATTACTATCAGAATCGTGCGACAATATTAAGAGCAAATCGATTCTCTAAAACAAGCTAGTCTGTAAGTTTACTTTACAGTTATGATGTAATTATTATTATATATTAAAAATCTTAAATTAAAATAAAAGACTTTCGTGATTTACGGTAAGTCGACCATTACATCAGAGGCTAGCACGGCTTTGGAAATCGCTCAAAAAATTTCTGCTAATGAAATGGTAATGGAAACAGTTACTGTCCATGCTTAATAAAAATGAATAGAAGTAATTGTCGTAGTTGAGACTGCCTTGCCAAGCAATCAGTGAACATGAGCAATATCCTGGTCAGTTATAAAAGGCTTCGACTTCAACTAATGAAGTTTTCTTAGTGCTTTCGCGAGCCATATCCCCAATATATGTAAGTAATACTGCTGACAAATTACAGGAAGCAACTATTGCAACAATAACGATTTTTACGAGTATTAAACGTGGTTATTCTGAAGTTGACAAATTCTTGTCATTTGTTACAACAATTTTAATAAAATAGATTAGAACCGAAAAAAACCGTTAGTCAGCTGAACAGAAATTTCAAAGTATGGGCTACGGTGACAACGGAATGCTGTCTACCTTATGTTCGGAATGCCCGTTGTACTGCTTTCGTAGTGTGCAAGTCCGTGTAAATACCTTTACTACTCATTAATTTGTTTATTGTTCTTGAGGGTCACCGTCTTACTTTTCACGATGTCAACGCGTTTGGAATAAAATCGAACTGAACAGAAAGTTACAAGATCAGCTGCAGACTGCAAAGGTTGTAGCTTTCTTGATTGCTCTAATAAATTGGCGTTTTATTAATTCGCTTCTTTTTATCGATGCAGGTAGAAGCCACTAGTTCATTAATAAATATCACCAAAAAAAAACTTTGCAACGACAATTGGAAAGGTTCATTTTGCTGTCGATATGAAATACCATCTACGATGACATTTAGTTCACTTTACTAACATATTATTCACAGAGGATTACAGGAGGTGGGTCGGTAATAGCTACCAATGGGAAACGCGCTCATGGTGCGACTTCGGCTTCAGCGACAGAAGAATCTGCAAATGCAAAAAGGCTCAAGATCCGCCAGGACGTAGTATAGAATATGTACGGCCTTCTTTATCCACAAGTTCTTGAGATAATTTTGCTTACTTTTGTTTTGCGTACCGTATTGCTCTCCTAATCTGATTAAAATCTGCTTTCTAAAGTCAAATGACCATGACATCGATAGAATGTGTGATGACAATGATAACACATTCAATGATGTGTCTTCGGAATGCATTGAGGATGATAACCTCATAAAATTTTTAACGTTTAAACTTTTCATTTTATCATAATAAATTCTTTGGTTTGCTGTCTAATGTAATTAGTAATTACATCTACTCCACGACGAGTTAAAAATCTTGATTAAGTTGTTCAATTTAAGTGATTTAATATGATGTTCTGCTCCATAAAATTATCACCAGTTATAGAGATACTTTATCATATCGAAATCGTTTTGATATGCTTGGTTCTATATGAACCGCACAACATACTTAAACGTTATATCGCGAGATTATAGGTAAAATCATTATATCCGAGTTCAATTTTATTGTAACTGACTTGGTTCCGGGAAATAGCGTATTAGGCCAACTTCATCTTATCGAGAGTGACTGTGTAGTAGTTATTGATAATAAGTAAATTACGACCATCAGTTGACCGAGAAAGTATTGTTATTGAATCAAATATCAGTCTCGACAAGTAGTCCAGACTTATCGTGATCGATTTAGTTAGACCCGTTTACTATTCATACACTAATACTGTAATGATACAATTCTAGTTTAGTCGGTATGGTCCGCCGAATACGCCTTACAAATTGGTCACGTAAAACCGACTTGTCGAGACACATCCAGCTAACGTTAGCTGGAGTTTAACGACTTATCGAGACTGACTGTGCATATCTATGTGTTGAAACATTGTGGCAGTGAGGTGAAACGAATCAACATTATTATTAATATGCAAAATATCCTATTATTGAATTGTCCCACTTGAAAATGGATAGGGATTATTTCTTTATTTGTTTGTTCCGAATAGGAGTTTAATTGTCAGCCATGCACCTCTTCGATGCAAGCATTCAAACTTGTCTTCGCAATGTTAGTCTTTGATGACACCTGCCTTCATTCTCGAATCTGTGTAGTACCAATATATTGCCGATTCTTTTGGGCCAACCACATTGATGCTTCAAACTCGGAAACTCGGCAAATTTTTATTTTTTTGATTGTGGCTTTCAGGCTGTGCTGTGTAGCCTTTGTACTCAGAATCTATTGCCGGGGGAGCAAAATTTACATTTTTGACCCCTGAAATATTATGTTGACATTTCTTTTTGTTCGCTCCAATTGAACTTTACTTGCCCAAATTATCAAGAAATATGGCATCTGGTGAAACCTAACCGAAATTTGTAATGCCATCTGACCATTTTTGACAAGATCTCCTATCATAATTACTTCATGGGGGCGCCTATAAGTAGATGGAACAACCAAAGAGAATGGGTTCAATACTGGAAACATGAACATTTCCGATAACGACAGCGATAGTTTTGTAGATGCAGAGGATACGTTCTATGATTTAAATGGTCGCCCATTAAATCTCAGATTTTCCGCTGTTCAACTATCATCCGCCGCTCGTAGCAAGCTGTTAGCGTCTCTACCTAAGGAGGACGATAAAAAATGCGTTATTCCAGAGATATCAGTTACTGATACATCACTAGACGATGGGGAACAAGAATTGAATGGATTGTCTGATGGCCCCGATTACAGTCTGTCTGGAAGTGGATCATTGTCAGAAGACGACCAAACTGCAGAAGCCGATGTATCATCTAGAAGAGATAAGGATAATGCATCATTGACTTCAGGTAAAACTAATTTCAATAATACCAGAGAGTATAATTTAGATGTATACTCCTTTTAGCATACATTCCTGCTGTTTTTCCTATTTGAAAAGTGATCGAATTCACTCTTCATTTAGAACAATTTGATATTTTCTTGTCTTTGATAAAGTTTTTTTTACTATTGATAACTATGCCAGTGCGATACGGGAGTCGCACTAGTCAACTAATTAGCATTCTCTTAATTATTACTAAATTCCGTTACCTCCAATTTATTTATAGCCAATGACAATTATCCTTCTCAAACTTTTATCGAAACCGATAATTGCGAAGAAGATCCCGATGTGACAGTGTATGTTAAAGATCTAGACACTGGGAAGCAAGTGTTAGCAACAGATGTAGAGGCAGAACTAAAAAAATCAAATAATGGGAAAATCGATCCGCTTTCGTTTCATATACTGAAACGAACAGGCTCTGATACTGATATGGGTAGCCCTCGAGATGATGAGGCTAAACACGGAAGTGGCAATTGGAACGGCTTATCAAAAGGGATAGATGATGATAGTAATGAGCATGACAAAAGAGATAGAGAGAAAAATGGCAAACATCATCGGTAAGAAAATATATATAACGGGAGACGCGAATTCATTTACGTATTCAAATTAATACAGAATATATCAATTGGTCTCAGCCCAAGGTCGTTCCTAAATCGGCTAAAGAAACGGACTTCTAATCACGAAAAAGGTATAGAGGATGCAGACGATAATTTTCTTACGGGAAACACTGCCCCTGTATATTCTGATGTTCAATCTTATGATGGTCAGGCTCAGCCACGATACATCAAGGTTAGATACAATTGTAATGAATTGGCTCGGGTCATTGCATCGCCATATAAACTTTAATCGTTGTTTTCTGGTTATTCCATCAGGTCAGAACACGTTTCAAAACCAAAAAGGACTTTAATCGACTTTTCCTGTCTCAGGAACTCTTCAACCCCAACACACAATCTTCCAAATTCGGTCCAAATAAAACGGGGGCAATATGGATTATGAAGTTTAGTAAAGATGGCAAATTTTTAGCGACTGGAGGTCAAGATGCTGTTGTTCGTGTTTGGGCTGTAATATCTAGTGATGAGGAAAGAGAACATTTTGCTGAAGGGAGTGGAACAAGCATATACGAAGGAAAGAGCGGGGCCAAGCTTGGTGCTCCGGTATTTAGAGACAAGCCTATGTATGAATATCATGGACATGCTGCTGACGTGTTAGATCTGAGCTGGAGCAAGGTTTGAAATCTCTTTCAGTTTTGATGGGAAGAAGAGGGATGGACGGAAAAGATGCTTTGTAGTCAATGTTACTGAAATTCAACTTTTTTTTTTCATAGAACAATTTTTTGCTATCTTCGTCAATGGACAAGACAGTGAGGTAAGGATTGAATAAGAATGAAATAACGACATTCCGTATAACTTTAATAATAACAGAAGCGTACGTTTGTTGTAGATTATGGCATATAACACGTTCGGAATGTCTATGCTGTTTTCAACATACCGATTTTGTTACTGCGATTGCATTTCACCCGAAGGTACTAATATCGCATTCGCAGGATGATTACGTGAAAAAAATTGAGGCGTCAGTGGATCCGGGAATTGTTGAACCCTGTTTATGTTCCAACTCTGTCGCTGGTTCGGAAGTGGTTTCGTAGATATTTAGACATGGGACAAAAAATGTTTATAGAACTTTTCCCCAAATTATTAAACCCGGATCCCATTGATGCCCAATTTGCCACGTAATATTTACGCTTTAAAATGCTGATTGATGATTCTATGCATGAATACTTATTACAAAACTCAGGACGATCGTTTTTTCCTT